TATGGCTTTGAGGAGAAATTGCGTTCGACCATGAAATAAATTGGCAGCGTAAAGAATTTTTTTTTTTTCGATCAAAAATGCCGCTTTGAGACTTAAAAAGTACTTATAGCTTAAGCCTATTGTTGTTGGTTAAAAAAGTGACAAAAAAAAATTTTTATTGTTTCGCACTCTTTTCAAGCTACCGCGAACCGGGCAGCGGCATCAATTGGAAACCGCTGCTGGTGCCTGTTTTCTTGCCCAACCAACTGGCCGCACCGCTAGCAGCGCCTCGCTTGGATACGACGCCGCCACGACTGCTGCTGCTGGCGCCGCGAGTGCTTCTGGCAGGCGTGGTTTTTTTGCGCGGCGATGCAGCGCTTTTGTAACGTTTGGTGGTGCTCGTGGCACGTCCACGCCAGGCGCGCTTCCGCTTGCAGCCACGCGTTCCTCCCGCTGAACTACTCGAGCCCTGCGATGCTGCCGCTCGGCCCCAGTCATCATCGTCCCCACCTTGTGCCGACCAGGAGGCGCGCGCGCTGCTCGAAGCTTGTGGCGTCACAGGCGCAGCTGCTGCCATTTCAGCTGCTTCCATGTCGTGCATGACCTGCAGACATTCCTTCTCTGTGGCATAGCCGCTAGTAATTTCCAACAGTTTAGCGCCATACTTATCGAAATTAGCTTTGGTTACGTGTGGTATGGAGCACATGTCCTGCTCCGTTGTCGGCAACTCCTCGGCCATGGCCTTCAGGGCTTGCATGTTCATAATACTAGCCATGGTTACATCGCGCGCCGCGGCTATGGTGCGGCATAAATCAAGCAGATCCGCATAGCAGCGCTCGTGCAGATTATTCATTTCGTTTTTACCCGCTGCGGGTTCAGAGACAGTGGCCACCGTCTTGGAGCCGCCAGTCTCCTTGCGTGACAGAGCAAATTCGATTTTGGGCGTGCCATTCATGAGCGCGGTTATGTTGTTGCCCAGATAAAGGTACGCTTGTGGTATGTCCTTGGTGAAGATGAGATCCTCCTTGAGGTAATCCTGCAGCACCATATGTCGCAATAAACGCTGCACATCTGACTTATCCCAGTCCTTTAGAGCACCATGATGCGCCGTTTTATTGTGCCCAAATTCGACAATCTTCTTGATCATGGAGCCCTTGAGCACATCCGCTAAATGGAGCAGCGTGAAGCGTGAGCGCCCGCTGCACAAGTCTCGCACAGCGCACGCCGCCTTACGGCACTGCTCCAAGGCATCGATTTGCTTAAAGCTGCGCTTTTTCAGGCAATTGTCGCATGCGGTGCGCCGATCCTCCAGACATTGCTCGCTGGTAAAATGCTCCCCAAAGTAGTCCAGCTGTTGGGCACGACGGCAATCGGTGATATTCTCGCAGTAACCCACAATGCGATGTAGATTATCGATGTGTATCTTCTTGACATGGTACTGCAACGCACGATCAGCTGCAGTGGGAGAAGATTCAGTGCGGTTAATTCAGTTGAAGTTTGTATTGTGAAGCACAACTTACCATCCATCATCTTTTTCAGGCGCAGCATATCGCTATAGTTATAGTAGAGTATACAATCAGCTATTTCGCCATCGCGTCCAGCGCGACCTGCCTCCTGATAATAGCCCTCAATGGACTTGGGCAGTGAGAAGTGAAGCACAAAGCGCACATCGGGCTTATCAATGCCCATGCCAAACGCAATTGTGGCGCATATCACACGGACCTTATTCGTTATCCAATCCTTTTGACGGGACTCGCGTGCCGCATCCGTTAAGCCCGCATGATAGGCCACCGCGCGTATGCCGACAGCGCACATCTTCTGCGCCACCTCGTCGCATTCCTTGCGCGACAGGCAGTAGATTATGCCGCTGGCTGTTACTGCCCGGGTTTGTATAAAGCTGCGTATATCGTCCAACGTGGAGGCGCCCTTCTTGGGCAGTACCTGATAGCGTAAATTGCTGCGATTGAAGCTAGACAGAAACCACTTGCAATGCGTCAGATTCAGTTGCTGCAATATGTCCTGTCGAACGCGTGGCGTAGCAGTGGCCGTCAACGCCATGGAAGGCACATTGGGAAAGCGTTTCCGTAAAATGCCCAGCTTCTTGTAGTCGGGCCGGAAGTCATGACCCCATTGAGAAACACAATGGGCCTCATCTATGACAAAGCGACTGATATAGTTGTTGGCGCTCAGCTGATCGAGTGTGTCCTGAAAGCGCGCCGAACTGGAAATCTTCTCGGGCGTCACATACAACAGTTTTACCAGCGGTGGATGACACTCTAAATCCCTATATATAGTCATAACCTCATCCAAAGTCTGCTCTCCGGACATGCTTTTGGCGCAAATCTGCAAAGTATTGAAATGATGTTACAAGAGCTTATGCCAACTCCATACACTACTCACATCCAACGAAGCCAGCTTGTTGACTTGATCAAATATCAGCGATTTGAGCGGACTTATAACTATGGTAACACCCTCGGTGAGTATAGCAGGCAGCTGGTAGCACAAGGATTTGCCGCCACCCGTGGGCATGAGTACAAAGCAATCGTTTCCCAACAGTGCCGCATTGATGACTTGCAGCTGATTAGGTCGGAAACTCTTTAGGCCAAAGCTAAAGCTAAGCGCCTGCATCAGACGCGTGGAATGCTCGAACTTCTGGCCATCGAATTCCCCCGTGATCCCATCATTATGCACATTGGCATGAAAATTTGCATCGATTTTTTGTGCAGCAGCTGCAGCGGTGTTGGCGCGGCTTACGCTGGACTTGGACTGGAACTCTACGTGACTGATTAAGTCAATGCTGGATGTTACCGCTTGCTCGTGCGCCTGCTCAAATAGTGCCGGATCGTACTCTGGAAAGCCGTCATCGTCTAAAATTATAGGCGCTTTGCTGGCAACGTTGCGTTGGGCAGGCTCTTGTTCCTTTGTAGACGCCTGCTTGACAGCCTCAAAGTCCGCGTAGGCATAGTTTTTGTACTGTGATTTGCGTCCCTGAAGCGCCTCATGCTCTTCGCGTATTTGCCTCAGTGTGTCCTCGAAATCATCATCGGAATCAACAATAGTTGTGGCCTTGGCCGGCTTAGCCGGCACGAGTGGAGCGTGTTGTGTTGAGCTACACAGTTCCTCCTCATCGAGTCGCATGCTCTGCGCTAGATAATCATCCTCATCAGACTCCAACGTTGGACCATCTATGGGCACCAGGTCTTCCAAATCAACAGGTGCATCATTAACATAGCTTTTGTTTGTTGTATTTGTTTTTGTTGTTGCTGGCTTTGTAATTAACACCAGGTCGTTTAGCTCCTCCTCATTCGCGTCCTCTGAAGGACCCGTTGCACAGCTACTGGGCGTTAGCGCCTTTGTTTGCCGCTGTTCTGCCTGCATCTCGCGCTCCTCCTGCGCCAATGCATCAAAGTCCGGTTCGTCTGGTTGCGCCTCTTGCTGCTGATGCTTACGCTCGATTTGTCGCTCCAGGAGTTGTGTGCGCGCCTTAAATTTCTGACGCATGACCTTTAGCTTGAGAAAGGTGTTCGCCTCGAAGCCAGCGATTTCATTGAAATGAACCGCGGGTATTTGATCAATCACCTCGCAATATTTCTCCATTAGCTCTATGTACCTGGTCTTGTACAAGCTCATGGTGTTCCTTAGCATTGTCTCATTTTGTTGACAAAAATCAGTCTTGGCTATACCTATCTCAAACTGACCTAGATCGCGCAAATAGTCGGCCAGTGAGTTATCAAAAACAATTTTAAGCTTGGGCTTGGCAGTGGTTGCCGCCGGCGCATGTGCTGGTTTCACCGGCATACTCAGCATGGAGCTGGACGTAACTGACTGGCTAGCAGTTAGTTCCAAGTTGGTAGGTGGCAAAAATGGCTGGGTCGGCGTATCAGAGAAAGGCTTCTCTTTTGGAGTCTTCTTTACCATCGCATCAAAACTGTCGTCCAAGGTGCTGCTTGCATTTGAATTGCTCAATTTGGGTGATTCCATGGCACCCAATTTAAGTGGGGACTGGGACAGTGACAGTGCCTTTCGTGGTGATACGGACAGCTTGTTAATGTGTCCATTGAGCTTTGATAACGTAGCTTGATAGGTTGCATCTTGTTTGAGCACTTCATCGAAGTTATCAAAGTTTAATTTCAGGCCCCCAGCGACGGCAGGCTTTGTGGGAGTTTTGTTCGTGGTTGCCACATTTGTTGGCAGTGGTGCTAGAGGCGACTGGTTGGCATTATCAAAGCTATATCGTTTGATAAGCGCATTACCATTGGTGTCCTTATCTGGCTCTTTATTCTTAGTCGTCGTTGTCGCAGATGGCACTTGGCTCTGACTCTGTGCACCATCCTCATCGGATGACGATGAGTCGAGATAAATGGGATTATAAAACTTTGCTTTTGCTGTCCTTGCCGCCAAAATATCTAAAACAAAATATATAGTTTTACATTACCTATATATAACTCATATTATTAGTGGGAACTACAACTTTTTCGTGATTGCGTCGATTGGCTCTGGCTGTTCTTGTCTAGGCCAAGGAATGCAGACATTGACAGTTGTTTGTTTTGATTAACGGGTTTTCTGGACATTGTGTAGACTCGCGCACAACTTTAACATTTATTTAAACTTCTATACAACTTAATTAACTGAATCGGGGTATGTAAACAAATAAATAAAAAATAAAAGACGCGGGCAACTGTCGCATATCTTGTTGAGTTCATCGACCAGTGTTGCCAGAGTTTGTCAATGTTAATAGTTGTCAAGATAGATATATATCGCAATTAATAAACTATGACAATTTTCCTATCTACTATATAGAACTTTATACAGAATAAAAGGTCACTATCAATAGTTTGTGTTTAAAATGATGTTAATGAATAGACTGGACCAGGTATAAATGTCGTTAAAGGATTTTCGATTTTGGCAATGCCAAAATCATATGTGCGTCAAACTAGCGGCGGTGACTTGGCGTCGATTTTTAGTACTTGGTATCGGAAAAGAAATCGCTCTAGGAAAGTCGCACTTATCGATATATAATAAGCGATTTAGTGCCCTGCAAGTGATGCAGTAATTTTTCTGTGAAAGCTAAAAAAATTTCGCTTAGGCAAAAATTAATGGCACACAAGCGTTTATTTGTCTACGCTGCATTTCTGGCGATATGTTATTTACTTGGCGCGACATGGGTAAGTATTCTCAACGTTATGCCTACTACGCCAAAACTTTAATGTTGATTGTGTTTGATCGTTGGCAAAGGCTGAGACAGCAACACAAACACTGACCATCAGCAGCAGTAATAGCAACAACGCCAGTCAACTTAATGCACCTGGCAAGGCGGCAGTAACTACTGCAGCGCCAGCAATCGCTACTCCCAAAGTCATAAGCAGTACGGCAACAAGCGCCAACACAAGTAGCAGTCCTAGTGAATGGTTTGTAATCACGTAGTTACGAATCGTAAACAGATTTTAGATATATGCCGTTCTACATTTAGTTCCTGTGTTGGAGCTCTGCTGCCGCAAGTAGATTCCAATGGAAAGGAGCTTCCCATGTGCGCCGAGTGTAAATGCTCCCATGTAGCGCGCAATACGACACTTATAAAGGTGTGTATAGTCTAAGTATCGTATCAAATATGCCCAAAATGTTCTGAATTTGTTTGTTTTCTAGGTCGTTGTCATTATTGTGATTTGGATAATATCCATTTTAGTAATATACATGCTCTTCCTAATGTGCTTGGACCCACTGCTTAACAAACGCGTCAAGGCTAACAATTATCAGGAGCACACCAATGAAGATGTACATAACAAATATTCTAAATATGCAGGCATTAAATATAGTCGACTAGCCGGTAATCCTGCCGTTGATGACGACAGTGATGATGAGACGCAGCTAGTTGGCAATAAAGAAGCACACAACGTTTGATGCCGTTTGCCAAACGATTTATATAGAAATACTTTATTGTTTTATTTTATTTAATGCTTTTAACCAAAGTTTTTTGTTTATGTGTTAACCAATAACGGCCTCAAATAATTCGCTTAAAATTTTCCTTCTTTTTCTGCTGCGCCTCCTAGGACGAACCCACACCGCCTATACCCGCTGGCCCCAACAATCAAGAGCTAAGCGCACGTGCCAATGTTCTGAATCGTGTCGGACATCAGCAGGACAAATGGAAGCGTCAAGTGCGGGAACAGCGACGCCACATCTACGATCGCCACACCATGCTAAATTGAACAGCAACATTATGTGCTAGAGCCCTTGGCGACTTAAAGACATATTCCGGCAGCAATTACGTATTGTATTTGAATTTGCTCTTTAACACTGCTTGTCTCATTAATTGGAACAGAATTAATTAATATTATTAGCAACATTTTATATTATAAATAAATTCACATAACCAAATAACTATAGAAAATGTAAAGGATCAAATTGCATGAAACTACTTCAGAGCTGGGCAAAGTTCTATAAGAATTTTCGCACATGCGCTTCATTTGCAAAATTTCAAGCATTCCTTGGAATTTAATCTTCTCGATATTCCCAAGATCATTTGTTATTTTCAAGAGCCTACAGGCTTTATTAATGTGTTTGGTTCTTAAATTACATTTTATTTGAAAAAGCAGACTAGTAGCCCTTTATGGTTTCAGCAAAGGTCCAGTTTTCTTCTACTTTAAAGGGACCTTTTATGCTGCAATCGGCGGCAGTGCAAATGCCAACCGTGTATTGCGGAATGCTGCGCGTATCACGGTAGTACAGCACCTTCATGGACTCACGAATCTGCACTTATACAAAAAATGTATTAATATTAATCGATAATAATTTGCTTGTTGTTGGCCTACCAAGTTGGTTGCCTCCTCGAAAGTAAAATCGCGATCCTTAGGCTTGCGCTCCCGCACAAGTGGTAGAGCTAAATGTCGTCCAAAGCCGGTGGCCACTACATAATCATTATAGGCCCGCCCTCGCATATCAACATTACCCAGAAACGGTTTACCGGTTTCATCAACACCACCGACCACAACATCAATGTAGAGTGGATTCATGCGTGAGCGTCGGTTATACAGCACGCGTGTCAACCAGCTGGCCAATTCTCCTGGCTTCATGATTACACCATCATTGTAGCACTGATCCTCTATCATCTTCTGATCGATGTTACGCTTGATAGACTGTATGTCCGCAAAGTCTCCACTTCCACCTAGCAAAATGTTGTTATTGATCTTGAATACGCGTTGAATATCCTGATAACGTGCCAGGGAGCCATAGGAAACCAGCGTATCGGCAGCCACCAAGACACCACCATCGAATTTAATGCCCACCACTGAGGAGCCCGTAGTTATTGCAGCGCTAATAATGTAAAAAGTGCTAGAGCTTTCAGACGGTGGAAACTGCCTTAACTTACGTGCTGTGCTTGGTACCAAAAGGACCTGCGGTTGTTAATTCTCGCGGCAGTTGGGTTGGGGCATTGCCCCCCATGAAATTGTAAAATTGACCGGGCGAAGGTCCATTTGACCACATTGGCTGTGCGAAGCTGTTCATCATCTTAATATATTTAATAATAGTACTTTGATATCAAGTGAAAATAACAGCAAAAGCAGTCGCAGAATGACAGGCACAAATAAAAGCCGAACAGTTTTAGATAGCGACGAATTTATTGAGCTTTGCAGCACTGCAAGGCGTTTTGATCGATATACGCAACTATCGATACAAATAGGCCAGGGCAACCTGTTGCAGCAAACGATATGGTGACAACTCTGACAACGATTAGTTGGCTGGCGCTGCGCAAAACGCGCTAGATTTAAGAACTATAATTTTAAAATTTTGAAGCAAAGCAGGAAAAATACAATTTTGATTAAAAATACATGCTCACCTTTATTTTTAGAGGTAGTAAAATTCAATAGAATATACAAATATACATATATATAGATATATATTTTTTTATTATATATATATATATATATTATATATATATATATATAATATATATTATATATATATATATATATTATATATATTATATATATAATATATATTATATATATATATATATATTATATATATATATATATGTATATATATATTATAATACACACACCTTTTAGGGACTGTTTAAATATTTTGCTTGCATCTTACAGATGGCATAATACAGATGAATAGAATATCATTGTAGAGAGTACAGTTCGCTAACTACTAAAAACATTTAACATACATAATATAAAAAATTTCTCGATTATGCAATAGTAAAATAGTCTACATTACATGCTAGTGTCACGGCCAATTTTTAGTATCTTACTAAATTAAAGCTTTACCTATAAAGTACTAATCCTTGCAACAACAATACACATTATCGCTTGAGCTGGCGGGGGTTGTGGGCGCGCTAACGCCTGCCTTTTGAGGCTTACTATAGGAATGTGGACCACGCATAAAAACATCTATGAGCTGGCAATGGGAGCTGTATGCAGAAAAATCAAAAGTAAGTTAAAAATATAAGTATACATATTTTATATATCATCGTATGCTTGCCTCATTGTTATATCTAGATCGGTGACAACCTCTCCATCACAATTCCAGCTAGAAAACTCTGAACTAACCGTGTCATTGCCGCTTTGGGCAATTGGTGAGCGTGAACCGGCAATGCTAAGGTTTTCCTCCGTTGTGACCGCTGTCAATGTACGAAAAATGAACTTACGAGTCCGGTAGACTTCCACAAAAGGTAGGTTGCGCTGCAATAATTTGGAAAAGCATGATACGTTTATATTCTTTATAGCGATGTATATAATGAGTACTTACAATGTCGCCTGCTCGGCCTGCAGTATTCAACAAAAACCGCACATTGTTGAGCAGCGAAGTTTTCCGTACTAGAATTAGATCAAGGCAGCCATCGCCTAGATGACTATAGCGCGAGATGCCATTGGGGCTGCGGGCACAAGCACATGTGATGTTGGCGCCGCAAATCATAAAGAAATTTCCTCGAATAATCTTCCACTGCAGGTCGCCCGGCAGGTTCAGGTTGGAGCCATAGGAGCCGCCGGGCTGCAACGGTAGATTGACCGGACGTATCGGTCGCGGGCGCAACAATGCCGTTTCGCTTGTATTTAGCTGCAGTTCACGATTTGACATAACGGACACACCGACAGGTAGATTTATCTGTGATTCCTGCTGTGGGTGCAGCTGCTCGTGCTGATCTGGGTGTAGCTGTCGCTCTTCCCTTATTTCTATATCAGTGGCAAACAACGCAGGGCGTTGCTCCTGTAGGGAACTAGCTATGCTGCAGCGCTGACAATTTGCATAACACACGGAGGGAGAGTCAGCGTGAGCACTGACCGGGCTCTGTGGCGTATCCGGCTCAATGGGCTCCTCGAGCAGTTGCAGCTCCGCGTCATAGCCACGATTGTTAATAAACGCCTTGATGCCGCTATACTCGTAGCGCCGTGTTCCCATCCAGCGATATTGCTCGCTCTCGGCGGCTACATCGCCCAGATACCCATAGCTCAGCACACTGGCACAGAACCTCAAAAGGGTGCGTTTATTGCTCACACTGCAGACGTCGAGGCCGCGCCTCTGGCCGAGCAGCACGTGAATGGCCGCAGTCCGCACATCAGCCGTGCCGTGCATGCTATAGACAATAGTATCCGTGCTGCCCGCTGGTATCACAGCCACAGGCAGGCTGGGACGTGGTATATAGGCTGGTCTCTGCTCATCCAAGCCCAATTCTCGCATGCGCCGAAACACAAGACCGTTTATGACCTCGGCCACGGTACCATCGCCGCCCACACAGCACACGGCGTCATAGCAGCCAAGATCGTGAGTGAGCAGTATATCGCGGATTTGATTGGCACGCTGGGTAGTTATGCAGGTGACATCGATGCCGGCCAACTGGAAAAGCGGTCGCACTAAACGCTCATAGGTTTGAGTGCCAGCCTTGCGCCCCCCAAATGGATTGATGAAAACCAGCAGACGTTGTACACGCTGCCCTCCAACGGGCGAGGACTTTAAGCGTGCCTGTAGCTGCAAATGCCATTGACGCACAATGTACGCATCTGCATTATAAAAGGTGATGCGTCGTAGCTGCCAGCGATTGCAGTCCGATTTGGATTTGCTCAGACGTTCTGCATAATTGACTGTCAAAAATTGTGCTGTGGGCTTCATATCCCCATCGCCATGATGCATATTTTGGTTAGAAGGGGGCTGTCGGCTTTCGTGTTTGGTGTCGCCAGAACATACGCTAATGATGTCATCTATGTGCAGAATGTGGCTGTGCGGGCCATAGCTGCAGGTGCCATCGCCAGCCAGTTGTTGCTCGTATACAGAATCCTCGGGAAGCGGTCTCTTTTGCGTCTCGTTCTGGCGCGACTGTTTCGCTTTTGACTGGCGCTGCATCCGTTCCCAAACCAACCTCTGACCATGGAGCAGAACACGGTAGCTCTTCTTTTTCAGCTGGAAGTTATTAAGCAGCACATCTGAGGAGCAAGTGGCGGCAGCGGCAGCTGTCGTTTTGTTAAACTCTGTGCTGCCGCTCTGTGTCATCTTCGTATCACTTTGTCTCTGCAAGACAAATGCGAGAAAAACAGGTTTCCATTAGAATTACGTACTCGTTTGAACTTTGCTTTAGACTGGCGTGATTGCGAGTGGAGACGGGTGAACGTTGCGGTATATCTGAGCTCCATTCTCTTTTTAATGACTTAAACACTGCAACCAAAGATTTTGGCTTTCTGCTGATTTTGATTTATATTATGTTTAATAATAGACCTAGAGCAGCCAAATCGAAATTGTTTTTGAATATCGTAAGCATACATCCATAACATATGTTAATTTCAATTCAATAATATCGGATTATAAAACAAATATATTACACACACATTTTTTTAATCGATTTTGAATATTCTCTATAATATATTCGGATGTAAGAAACTGATCATACGTTTATATTTCTTACTTGATTTTTTCTATACAAGTACGCTCCACAATATATGACCAGTGTGCTATTAAAATATATCATTCATTTAGTTTTTGCCACGACGCAATGTGCTATTCCCAATATTTACTGCTGATAATCAACCAACCGAATCAATATTAACAAGTAAGAGGTTCTAGTTGGGAACTCCCGACTTGGGGATACCCTGAACCCTCTTCTTCCAACATCAAATGAATATATATATTCTATTTTAGAAGCTATATGTCAAGTTTGGTGACTGTAGCTCGTATTATTTACCAACATTGCTAAAAAAAAAAAAAACAGGATATCGATATCGATTGCTTGAAAACGGAGTAAGTTATCGATTATCGGAAACAAATTCCATCTGCGCAGGTACCAGGAGCACCTACATCTAAAATTTTGAGTCTCTAGCTCTTATAGGTTATGAGATCCTTGCGTTCATACATACGGACGGACAGACAGACACACGGACATGTCTAGATCGACTCGGCTATTGGTGCTGATTAAGAATATATATACTTTATGGGGTCGGAGATGCTTCCTTCTGCCTGTTACATACATTTGGATTTTACACAAATACAATATACCCTTATACCCATTTTTATGGGTTCAGGGTATAAAAATGACATGCTAATGACATGCCTATGTAGTTCGCAACTCGAATAGCGAAACGGAGATACATATGATTTTGCTAAAACGCTTATCTTGGCTTCACCTGGGCCCTGGCTTTTAAAATATTTTAGAACATATTATACACACATGTTCAATGCCTATTAAGTTGTACACCTGACACTGGCCTTCACAGAGCTTAACACACAAGGGCCTACAATATGGCTAATATTTGTTACTGCTAATAAGATACACACACAAAAACAAGTTAAGAGTGATCGACTAGGCGGTACCTGAGCCTAAAGCACTGTATTTGAGTAAGTAAGCATTTATCCATATAATTATTGAGTGTAGTATATATATATATATAGTATAGTATATATATATATATAGTGTAGTATATATATAAACATCAAGCACATCGAATTGCACCCATTTGGGGCCATGGTATATTAATGGGTACAGGGTATACAAAATAGAGCTGAGAATTTACCAGTTCAGCCACATGGACGAAGCACGCTTACACGTCGTATACGCAACGATCAAGGTTATGAGTATATTAGTGTATTATATATAGTAGAGTATCAGAATAGTTTAGGAAGCTGCGCTCTAGTACCAGAAATCAACAACATCAACAACAGCAGTAAAAAATGTTGCTCAAAAACGAGTTTTTCTCGTCTTCTCTTTAGTACTCTGCTCTCCACTCAGGGCGTGTAGCTTTTTGACCTTCGCCTTGAATTGCAACAAGTTTTTTGTATAGTCATTTTTAAAGTGCCCGACTCTCCTGACCGAATCTGTATGTATGTATATTGGACACTATTAGTAGAGTTGAAGGCCTTTCAAGTCAAAAACATAACCACATATGCATTTAGTCTATGCAAATGACATTTAAGTTTTGTTTTGTTTATTTTGTGCGCATTTCCGGCTAGCAATTGAAAGCTAATGAACCTGCTATTTTTTTTAGTATAGAGCATAGTAATTGCTTTTTAGGTATTACCTATTCCTCTTTATATACATATATTAAATAATTACAATTTTTATTTTACGCTTTTAATTAACCTTGTCGTTTGCAATTTTCAAAAATGTCTTAAAACCCATCAAAATAATTTGATTGTGTACTTTCAGGTGTCTGGCACGCCCTTCTTGACTGCATGCCAAAAATCAATTATATTTTTAATGAATAAAGCAAACATTATTTATATATAGGCACGAGAAACATGTTAGACAATTGGCATAACTTTACAAATATAAAAATACTTTCTAATATACTAGAGTACATTGTAGCACTTTTGTTTAAAAGCTATACAAATCGAGTGTTTTGTTTTGATAAATCTACTTTGTTTAAAAAACGCACGCCAACAGTTTATTTCGATAATAGCACAGCACGCTGCATTAGCGGGCTGTAAACGAGTCGGCCTCAGATAGAAAATATTGTAATTGTTGTATTCTGTACATTTATTGTGACTAAACAAAAACATTGAAGTTCCTCAGTACTTAGCAAGCCGTCTGCTTATCAATTTATAAGTGCATGCGACCGAAAGATAAGATAGCGACAATGATTAAAAAACTAATGAACTAGAATAGAGGAAGGCGCGTTAGATCAAGTTGCAGCGAAACATAATTAATTATTATTTTTTATAGCGGTTTTATGTCAAAATATTTGTTCAATATCCTTCAAAATTCAAGTTTGTGAGTCATGTTTTATCACATAATTTAACATTATCAATAAAACTTAATAAGACGACATTTAATGTGTATGTGCCAGGTACCAGCGGGTAAGGGTGTCCGCGTTAAAATGAATTAAATATTGTATAAAGATTATAAATGCAAACATTCTGGAATCATTAAAAAAAAAACTAGCTTTCAGAGTTGAAACATTTATAGCCTCACTTGAAGTGGTAAAGTGGACGCGTTTAACTATTTATAGCTGACACGCAGTCCAAAAATATTCTACAACCAGACATAAACCATATTAAGATAAAAGCCAGATCAATTAGCAAAGAATAATGAAAATCAGCAAAAGCGAGACGGGAATAGGTATGACCGAGCTTGGATAAGGCAAAACAACAAAGCTGTTATACTTTACAATTATACAATTACGAAAGCATTAACACTCAGGAGAACATTAGGGAGTCATTTAAAGCGGGCACACAGCAAACATTACGCCAAGCACCGTTATCTGAACACAGCTGAGAACAGCAACAACAGCGCAGTACATATATGTATATATAGATAGCATGTACGAATTCACATATTTCCAAATTGTTTTGCGTACGCATTGTTTGCTTCAGTTCAGCACATTCTGAATGTATTCATTTGGTTCATATGTACTCATTTGGCTGTTTTTGACAGTCGGAATACCGGTAGTTGGTTACGGTTATGTTCAATAGGAAAAATTACCTTGTACATAGAAGGAATATCCGTATATCCATGCAATCATTGACGCATACATAAACTACAGTTGATTATAATTTTTGCAGTTATGTTGTTGGAAAATCAAGCTAATTGGATAAACATTGCAATTTAGCACACACACACACACACGGCACATACAATCGCAAGCAGGTAGTCTCAACGGCAGTTATATTACACGTTTTTCACTCACTTCCGCAACTAACTTTTATAAAAAATGCAACATTATAAGAAATTACCAACGTAAATCCACAACAGAAATGCAAGAAATACTCAAGTTCCTAAATTGCAAAGCATTGAGCGTGCTCCCCACTCGGAAAAACCAAACAAAATACTAATGAAAAAACTCAATGTGACCAGTGATCGTCGGCTATATAATACCAAAAAAGCTTTCCACAGTCATAATACCAACCCGTAGCAAAAGACTTGTAGGACGGTATAATTGCGAGTGATTTTTTTTCTGGAAACCTGAAAAATCTTTAACCTAAAACACATTTACTGAGTTCCTCAAACAAAATTTTTTTTATTCTTATCACACAATATGAAAGTAATTCAAAATATGTCAGTCATTTATATTCTCCCATTTTGTCATGCAATAAAGCAATATAAATTTTCCTGTTCTATTTTGCCGCCACAATATGAGTAAGTAATTTAACGATTTCTTAACTCTCGGTATTTCTTCAGTTGGTTACTTTTGTGGCAGCCTCTCCCTGTGGCAAGTGTAACACATGTCCGTGCTCTGGTCAGTCGAATCAGGCTCCACGACAGCAGCCAGTTCCTCAACAACAAGAACAAGAAATACAGCAACAACAGATACAACAACCAGAAAGTTCTTGTCAACAACCGCAACAGCAACAAGTTGAGCGACAATTAGAAAAGAGATCCAGAGTTGAATGCCATTGCGTCAGCAGTAGCAAAAGTAGTAGACGAAACACAGCCCCGGTGCAGGCACCGCTCGCTGATTCATACACATGCTCTCGACCACGACCTCAGCCTCAGGCAGCACTCGCGCCGATCGAGGAGCGTTGCACATGCAAAGCAAAAGCTGCCCCGCCTCAGTGCGAGTGTAGCCCACCAGTGTTACCCCCACCGTTGACGTCACAGCAGCGGCTCGCAGCAGATCGCGAAAGGGCAGAAGCTCAGCAGGGGACGCATGCTTACATTACTTGCGGCCAGCCGACTCCTTATCGAACCCAGAACCAGCCACAGTATTCGCAATATGGAAATCAACAGGCGCGCGCTCCTTGTTCGCATTGTCGAACCCAGAAAAAAAAGAAGTGCAGCATACAGTGAACGAACGTCAATTCGTTTGAAATGCTATCAGATTCGGACAGATTAGTAGGCGACCCAGACCCAGATGCTCAGTCGGCGAATGAACAAAAATTTTCTAATATTCTCACAATTTACGCATAATGCTTATTTAGGAAATTTATAAAATAAAAAATTCTCAAATGTGATTGCTAATGCGACCGGAGTCATCTCAAAATCTAGTGCAGTTTTTAAGCTAGCTTTATCCCATTCGGTACAAGTAAGAGTTAAGAAGGCCCATTATGTCTGGCTTAAGAATACAGGACTCTAAGCCTAATACTGGAGCAGGATGCTGCTGCGCTCCAAGCCGAACTAATATCGAAACGAATATTCAATCTGGAGCAGCCGTACTACCATGCGGCGGTCCACAGGGTCAACACTGTGCTGTAAGATATGGGCCTCCAGCCGCATCTGTATATAAAAGGCCTCGAAACCAAGCCCAGTGCCATCATTGCAGGCGAAAGACAAAAAAGCGATGCGCCATTCAGTAAACTCTGGCGCAAGCAGTTGTCGCAATAAAAAATTTACAATATTTAAGTAATCAAAGCTGGCTTTACAGAATCACCAAACTTTTAGTTTTTCCAAATCATTTAGAAAAATTTCAAAATTCAAGTCGGCTGCAGAACAAAAATATCTCCAAATGTAAATTGCAAACAAAAAAAAATAAGCTGAACTCCACCTTGAAAGCTGAAGCTGGCGAAATCTAGTCCATTGTTAACTACTCCCACCGAGACCCAAGAGTAAGATGTCCCAGCCAAATATGTCTAGCGAGCCTTCAGAGCCTAGATCGAATTGCCAATGTACTCCACTGCATCAACGACAAGAACAACGGGCTTCACCTTTGCAACCAGAGATAATACGAATTCCTTGCACTAGCGGACCTCTTCCCGAGTTGCAACCCAATCAGTATTACGGTTGTCAAGATCGCAAACAGAAACGGAAGTGCAGCATACAATAGATTTTATCTTGAGCAATGATATCGGAACGGGAATAGGCTTTATACTCTAAAACAATCGGCATAGCAGGCGTTACAAATGGAGAAACTAAAGAGGCTGCTTGTAAAATAGTGACATCCACATTTAGCAAAATTTTCAGTTTTTCATTCAAACACTAAGCAATCCTTAGGACTTACGGCATTGAACCCAATGTGATTGCTGATGGGCAAGTCAATCTAAACAAAGCTCTCAATAGTTACATATTTTTGTTCCGTTTAGGCAATCGCCCAAGCTGCAGCGCGGCGCCTAAGTTAATATTTCTTAATAAGTGCATATTTCTGTTCCGTTTAGGCAATCGCCTAGGCTACGGCGCGGCGCCTTGTAACATACAGCGCAGGTACGCAAATTGCCCCAATCGCCAGGGATGTCATCCTGAAAGCTGCGTTTGGCACGGGACTCACAGAGACATGTGTAGAAAACGCAGCCGGAACTGTTTTGTCATTCGCAGTCCACCTCTTGCCAAACCACGACAGCGGTCACTATGCCGTCAAGGGCGTTTCTCAAGCGTAGATTCAGAGTGCTGTTGTCCACCGCCAGAACCAGTTTTGCGGCGACCATGCCGTCAGATAGCGTCCTCAAGTACAATTGACTGCTGTTCGCCACTGGAACCTGCCCCGCCGCCAGCCCAATTGACATGTTATCCCGTAAGGCAACCAATGCCGGAAAACCCAGTTTGCGGTCTGCCTAGACAACGGATGTGTGAACCACTGCGATCTCGATGTCCGACTCAGTTGCCACCCATACTTGCTGCACCTATGCCGCCGCCATATCAACCTTGTTATTCGAATCATTATGGACAAGCTGATCATTACGCACCTGTGGTTCAGAGAATGAACGAGTGTATTGACGAACCGTTTGATCCCTACTATGATTATGACTGTAGTCAACGAAGGCCAGGAGCTGATCGATTGGCTAACTTTGATTTAAACAGATTCGATCGCGACAATGTTGGACGTCGAAGAAATGTCAGCATTCGCACTTGCGTGGACTATGATTATGAACCAGGACACGTAGTTAACCATAGGCAACCATATGCCTTTTGCAATCGCCCTTTATATCCAAATTCACGCCAACCATGTCTATATCCACAATTTGTACCCACACGACTGAATCGTTGTCCTTCGCAGCGGAATTGCTCCGCCGTCGACAGACAATGCCCAAACTGAATTTGAAAATGTGAATGGACACAAGAAAAATACTAAACAACCAAAATAGCCGACTATCGGTCACAAATCGAACAACCACCACATTCAAGAATTAATGGAATAGATTAGCATGGTATAAAAATACCGCGATACAGCGGTCGATTAGTCCATCAGTCGGCTATCGACCCACCACCGCAATCGAGGCATTAAGGGAATAACAAAAAGAAGCGTGCGCTATTCGTGAATTCTGAACAATCTCTTAAAAAATGGATGACGGGGAATATGATAATGATGAGTACGTGCATACTTCCCATATTTATCTCTTTTTCAATTTATACGGTTCCTACTCTTCTCAGTGTCGGCGGTGATGATTTCGATGATGTCGATGAGGACGTGGACGAGGATATCGCTCAGGAGGAAGAAGTGGATAATATTGAGATTATTGCACCCGGTGGCGCAGGGGGCGGTGGTGTACCCAAGTCCAAACGGATCACCACTAAATATATGACGAAATACGAGCGCGCGCGTGTTTTAGGCACACGAGCACTTCAGATTGCGATGTGCGCACCCATTATGGTAGAACTGGATGGAGAGACGGATCCACTACAGATTGCGATGAAAGAACTGAAGCAAAAGAAAATTCCAATTATCATACGTCGCTTTCTGCCAGATCACTCATACGAGGATTGGAGTATAGACGAGCTTATCATGGTGGATAACTAGCACGGTTAGATGTAAGAACAGAATAGCTATAACACATTTATTACATTTGAAAAAAAAAACATAAATATAAAGCCACCCTAAAAAAATATATATAAATAAACAATTAAAAGAAAAAGATGCAAATGAAGTCAGCTCCAGGCATACCCCTCGCCCTGCTGATAGCAGAAACGTTCCAGTAGGCCAACGGCATGTTGACCTGTCCTGCAGATGGCACCAACTACGGCAGGCAGTAGGCCACACTCTGAAAGATTTTGCTCTCCAAAAACCTGCCCAGAGACGCCAGCCTCTTGTTCCGCCGCCTTAGATTCGGCGGGCGTGATCTCCAACAGTTTCTGCGTAGCTTTGGTAAAAGCCAGAGTATTAATACTACTGGCCAGCGTGGCACTAAACGCCTGACGCGTTTCGCACAACAACATTGCAACGCTAGGCAGGAATGTGGGCAGCAACAGTCCCTTGATATCAATGCTGTAGTAATCGACACCGTCAAGCCGCACTTTTTTGGAGCGCGGCAGCAAATTCTGCATCGTCGCTTTTGGAAAGGCTACGGGGGCCAGAAGCGTAGGCGGGACACCTGCCAAACGACCAACGCTGGTGATTGTACTCTTGGCATTCAGCAAGTAGCTGAAGAATCCTTGGCACTCTACACCTTCGATCAGAAGCAGCGAATTATCACTAAAATCCTCGCTCATTTCGGCTGCCTGCAATCTCCTCGCGTGTGTGGTTTGTATGCGCCGTAATTCGCGCTCATCCACGCCCAAGCTTTCCAGCCAAGCATCATCGTCATCATCCTGGTCGGAAATGAGCTCATCTTCGGCCTGGCCATAAGCTACCGTAACGCTTGTCGGGCCATCGATTATGTTTCCCTCGCTCTCTTCTGTAAAGCTGCTATTCGAAGCGACACCATATGCTGCATCCTGCTGTTTGAGTGGCATGCTGTACTCAATGCCTTCTTGTCGGAGAGCGCTGCGCATACCGCGAGTAGATGGTGTAACAAGGGCATGTGTTTCTGCGCGTCCACCACTGCCCGCTGCTCGAAAGAGCACAGTGAAAGAGTTAGCGCACAAATAAAAGTACGGGCACTGACGTGCTCGCAGAAGTTGGAAAAGTCCGCGAAAGCTATAATCCCACTCTTCTGCTAGAGCTTTGCGCTCCCGCTCGCCAATTGTGATGCCGTTATTCTCTTTAGCACTGCGTGGATAAAGCGTTAACCAGGGCAAATGAGGATGTTGCCAATAGTAGGTGCATTGATTAAATCGCGTGGCATCTGATATGTCCAACGTACTCTCCGTATGATACGTGTCGAAGCAACGCACAAAGCTTGTCAATCCGCTGGCCAGTTGTGAAGTTTTTAGCTGCGTAGCGGGCAGTTCTGTAGGACAGAAAATCCGCACCCGCGTCTTAAGGCACCAGTCTATGGGCAGATGTGATGTATGCTTTTGCCGAGCAGCTAGTGCAGCATCAGTTTCCTCATCAGCTTGTGTGACCTTTGCCTGGTGCAATAGTTTGGCAAAAGCCTGGGCATCAAATTTCTGTAGCACTAATGTGGCGGGTGGCGAGTGTTTTTTTGAGGTAAAGCAGGTTAAATTGTTGGTCAATGACGTTTGAACATCGGAAATACTTGAAACGTGTGGTTCATCATGTTTTTGCTTTTTGGCGCCATCTGCGAATCTGTAGATGACTGTATTTGGAGCCAAGCAGCTGATTAAAATAAAACACTCACTTGGCAAATGGGTTTTTGCGCTTTTGGGCTATTTTGGCTTCCAGCAGCTTGCACTCATCGTTCTCATCCAATTCGGGACGCTTATTGTTGTTGCTGCTCACACGTGCCGCTAGTTGTTTCTTCTTTTGCTTTAATCTTTGTAGTTTTATAAACTGAAATTAGTAACATTTTAATAAGCCTTCCAGTCATATTTCAAGCAGTTCTTTATACATCATCTGGCCGCGTCCACTTGGAGCTCAAACTCCCTTCGCTAGACATGATTACAGTGTTTAGTAACTGTCTAGTCAACAACCTTAACAGAAGTCCCGCGCAAAATATGTTTCTTGTTTTCATGCAATTTTGCAAAAGGTGTCAAAATATTTATATTTATCGATAAGTTAATCGAAAATTTTATGTCCATCTCTGGCCCACATGAAAGCAGCTGTATCATTTGTAATTCTGTTGATGCCAACTTTAGCTGTTCATCTAACCTTTTGTCGTTTTTTGCCTTAACTAACTTGTCACCAACAGTCTTCCTTGTAATAGTTTAAAAAACAAAACATTTTTTTTTTTAATTTTTTGCATAATCAAATGAAAATAACGGCAATATTGGCACTCAATATTGTAGCTTGCTGTAAATATCATTTTATCGACCTGTTAACAGAGAACTAGCCTCTTTAGCAGGCAAAGCCGGAAACAGAAGCAAAAACAATTTCGACATTGTTGCTAAAATGGACAATGAAGAAAGCAACTTGCACGAAGTTTGCCGTGTGTGTGCCAACAAAATAAAGGACAAGAAGCGCCAGCGGCATATCTTTAATTATTTGCGGGGCAAGTTACTACAAAATCTGAAGCTCATTACTGGAGTCGAGGTAAGTGAGGTATCGTGATTATTGCTTATGACGTGCAATTAACTAATCTTCGGTTTGCCGTTGTAGCTGTCGATGAACGAAGGCTTGCCCAAATTTATTTGCGATCGATGCTATTCCGAACTTGATTTGGCCATCAAGTTTCGCGAGCGCTGTATCTTTTCGCAAAAGTATTTGGAGGAAATGCTTACAAAGGTCCGCAAGGAATTTGTAGTAAACACGGCCGAACGGGAGCTATACGAGGACTTGATCGATGAGGAACAGCTGGAGTACATTGATGAAGATGTGCAGTTTTTAGAAGATACCGATGTTGGAAATCTATTTGACGACATTAGTGCAGAGATTACTGAGGATGAAGTTGAAGAAACTGGACATGCAGAAGTAAACGCGGAAGAGGATCAGTCGAGAAGCGAGAAACGGCATTGGGTATTGTTGGAAGACAAACGGCCCGCTAAGCGGTTACGTCATTTTTTTATATGCGAAGAATGTGGAGAATATTTTAAGAATGAGTACGATTACAATGAACATAAAGAAGGACATTTGGAAAACAAAGAATCAAAGAGATTTTTTCCCTGTTACAAATGCCCGGCGACCTTCAAAACCAGAATCGCGTTGAAACTTCATCGACGGGAAGAACATTCCGGAGAGCGTAATTTCAAGTGTGCAACTTGTGGCGAAACATTTCTAGAACACAACGCCAAACAGCGCCATGAGAAGTAAGTGGTTTACAATTAACAAACCATATAACCAACATCTAATTATCTTGCAGAGCGCACATCAATGAGAGACCCTACCCTTGTCTAGAATGCGATAAAATTTTTAATAGCGTATCCGAGCTACGGGCGCATTCCACTAACCATGCAATGCGGAAATTTAGGTATGACACACATGTTTGATACGACAGTATACTGGATACACTTTTCCCCTTGCAGGTGCGAGCCTTGTAACATGGACTTCACAATGCGCAAACATCTCGTAGCGCACTCAAATACATATCCACATAAACGCACTGTGCAGCAAATGCAGGATGAAATTGATATGCTATATGGGGAGACAGAGGAGGAAACGGAGATTATTTAATTTATATTTCCAGTATTAAAATAGGTATAGTTCAAATTGCAAAAATATGCTTGTTAAAGTAAGTCAGTAACAGAAGATTTATTTAATATAATGTTAACAAGAGAGAGAGAGAGAGAGAGAGGGAGAGAGAGCTTTCAGCAAGGCGCCTGCGCATGGGAGGCCGCTTTTCAACAACATAAGTAGCCTTATAAATGGGGGTACAAAAAGAATTTTGTGTGTATTCAGTGTATTCAACTGGTTGCCACCAGTTCACAGTGACCAGCTCAATATAGTTATACATACAGGTACGGAAATACAGCTGGTGCAGCCGAAAAATCAATAAGACCACAAACTTCTACGTAAGCAGTGATACGAGTATTATAAATGCGCAATATGCTATCCCAGTCAAAAGGTAAGTTGGTTCATGAAAAAAGGGTGCCTATACAGATACTGAAGGAAAAATAAATTTAAATATTCCTTAGCTTTAGGCACGATGCTTGGCTGCTTTATTTTGCTGGTGGGCAGTGCTTCTCAAGTGCGTGCCTTTGACTCCAAAGACAGCATCTTTGCAGACGTCTTGCTTACCGACTTGCTAAATCGTATGGATAATGACATGCAGGTGGGTTACTACGATGTGGACAATGAAGGAGATTTGGCCGCAGCGGCTGCTGCTGCCGCCAAGAACAATGTGGATTTGGTATCGCGTTCGGAATACGCTAGACTGTGCAATGGAGGCAGCGATTGCTTGCTGCAGTCGAACAATGCACATCCATCCCTACGGGATCAGGAGTTTTTGCAGCACAGCTCGCTTTGGGGACATCAATACGTGTCGGGTGGCATGGGCGAGGTGCCAAATCGTTACAACACTATAGTTAAAACCGATGCTAGCCTGCCTGCCTATTGCAATCCGCCCAATCCTTGTCCCGAGGGCTATGACATGGAACAACAGGCCGGCAATTGCATAAGTGATTTTGATAATACAGCTATTTATAGCCGCGAATTTCAGGCTGCCCAGGAGTGCACGTGTGACAGCGAGCATATGTTTGATTGCGCCGATCAGGAAAACGCCGCTGGTGTTGGCCCTGGTAACAGCGATTTAAATTCGGCTGTGGAGAAGTTTCTCTTGCATCAATTTGGCAACGAGAATGTCCTAGACAATGCCAACGGCGTGGCCAAGAAGGCTGGACATATGCCAGCGCTTCAAATGGATTCTATACCCAATCCTTTTCTACAAGTTGCTCCAGGTGACCGTCTACCAATTGCAGCTAAAAAGGGCAACATGCTCTTCAATTAAACATCCTAAGAATAACTAAGCACAACATTACTTGGCCACCTAAATATTTGTTGGCTTCTTTAGTTTATCCACCATTATATATCATAGTCGTTTCTAAATGTTGTTCCACATGCATATATAGAGCTCATAGCAGCTTTCAACAACCCATAGAAATAAAGTTATTCAGAATAAACTATGGCTTAAAGCCAAAAAGAAACAAAAATGAACAATTTTCTTTTGATTATACTTAGTCATTTCATACTCTCAAACTCATATCTTTATTGTTTCGAAAGTTCACAAAAATTCAGTTATTTAAAAGATTTATGTATGTAAATAGGTTTTTCTTGATGCACTTTCAATCAGCTTTACAATGAGTATTATGTGTCAGCATTCACTGGTATTGTGGTTAAGTCGACAGTCCCAAATGGGGCGGCTGCATCACAATTTCTTAAACCTAACCTAACTATTGATGTATATATATATATATATATATATGATATGAATGTTGTTGCCCACTGGGTTTACAATACACTATTCGAAAAGAACACTGGCAGTGTGATTAGCTTAGCAAATATTCGTTGTGTATTGACAAGGCTCCTGCAATGTCCATTATATATACAAGTAACCAATACATGTATTGACTATAAACTCAATTTTTTTTTGTAAATTTTTAGATTTTAGAGTTATATGATCATAATTAGTTTACAAACGCCCCGTATTATTGCCGTTTACATTTTGACCCCAAGACACTTGATGCGGATTCCGAGTCGTCAAACGGAGGGAGTTACCGTCGCCATCTTCATCGATGACATGCTCGTAGCCTTGATTTATGGTACCACCGCCATTGGAACCATAAATTTGCTGATACAATGTTATAGTATTAAAATGCTGATTTATCATCATTATGCACTCTGCCTGCTACTCACCTCGGCTGGTCCACCGTTTACATTGAATACATCCTTGATGCTAATGCCTGCATTGGACACGCGGCCGCTACGCTGATTGGGCAAGGCCCCATTGTTATTGAGCTATTCCGTAAAAAATCGCATTGTTTAAAATGTTATGTTGAATTCGTGCTAATTCTTACCGGTGGAACTGCGGATATACCGTACTCATTTTTGGCTCCCAAGGTTTGCATTGCCGATTTGCGTCGTTCCGCCATTACGGAGTTCTTTCTGACCTCCAGAGCTCGTATGGTCTCAGCTCGCATGGTCAGTCGACGTGTCAGTATTGGTGTGGCTGGATTGTTCTCCGCATCAGCTGTTAGCTTAAGGAACCGCTTCTTAAAGGCCACATCCAAGGTGCCGATTTGACGTCGCGGCTGACGTGCCTTTTCCAAATTTTGTATGGTTTTGCGGCGTGCTATGCGATCGGGCCCCGAGCCCGAGTCATTATCATAGTCCCCATCAATGCCTTGTAAGCGTTGCAGATTCTTAACGATCTCCACAGCGTGCTAGGGGGAATACATCAATCAGTACAATTAACAGATAACATATTTGTTTTTTTTTTTTTGGGCACCTTGTCTATAAGTTGATCTTGTGTTAGATCCTCTGATTTCTTTTTGCAGAAATTCAACTCCGTAGAGGCCAAGATGTGCGAAAGTGTGCCAAATCGATGGAACAGCATGGCCGTAAATTGTATAACCAAAATTAAGGCAAAAAAAAACACAAAAACCAGACCAATCGGTTCTAGCTGTAGATACTCCTTGGAAATGTGTACCTGTGCGAAAGTGTAGCGAGAAACCGTATTACAAACAAATTTAATTACACATCATTTTTTTGTTAGTAACAAATTAACAAATGAAGAGTTCTTCAAATTTGATTTTATGTTTAAGTTCGGGTAAATGGCAGAACATAGTACCAATTGGTCGGTGATAGTGCTATGTTTATGTGTGTGATACCATTTAAGTGTGTTATGTGAATGCCATGCATGGCTCCAGCATGTATATTATTGTATATATACATCTAGGTTTATTATATAGTATATTTTGTTGTAGAACTTATGGCATAGGTCGTACAGTTTACCGTGTTGAGGGTTAACTGTTAGAATCGGATTTGATGGCAATATGTTGTTGCTATTGTTGTTGTTTCTGCGTTGTATGATATATTTTTTATTGGTGATATGCCACAACCATTAGGATGGGTATCAATAAATAGGAAAAAAATAGGAATGCCTTATAAACACATAAAAATATATATAACATATATAAAAAATTAGAAACATCCATTGGGTAAGTATATATGTAACGTGACATATGTAAGGAGCACATTAAACATATAGTGTAGGAGAGAGAGAGGAGAGCAGAAAAAAGTTAGAGGTTCCTTGAATAGGCTTAAGATAAGTTACACATACTGAACGACACAGAACAAAACGGGTTTTGGTAGTAGAAACAAAAGTTAAATTTTGATTTTAATTGTATAGCATTATAAACCTCAGATGTCTCTTCGATATACGTAATATTCGTTTTGACGCCCAACGGCCATATAATATGCAATTTATCCTTATTCAATTGCAATAAGAAGACAATCAATACGAATAAGGCGTTGGCCATAAAAAACGCAAAGACCGACTTATTGCGCAGCTCAATCAGATCGGAGGCTATGCGGGCCTGAGTTTGGAGATCGATCATGCGTATTCACACAGTTATATGAGAAAAACAGAGAGAGAAAAAAAAAGAAAATGTTAGTAGTGTTTGCGGGAGACTCAATTACCTCCTGGGTGGACTCGTCATATGTGATATTGGTGCGCACGCCAAAAGGCCATTTGACGTGAATGTTGTCCTTGTTCAATTGCAGCAGGAAAACGATCAACACGAACAGGGCATTGATCATAAAAAACGCGAACACCGACGAGTCGCGCAACTCTTTGAGGTCTTTAGCTATACGTGCCTAAAAGTATTTTATCGGCAGGTGGTAGGTAGCATAAAACGTGCTTGGGCCTGTAAATCCAATTATAACTTATTTAGTCTTACCTGTTCCACAGGATCATTATCAATGGGGTAAAGGTACTGATCGATGAGGTCCTTCCAGAACTGAATTTCCGAACTTGATAAAAAGTCCACCTCACCCTTGCGGACATCAGGATCCTCGATCCAATAGGGGTTTGTCAAAAAATCACGTTCTTGCTTAGGTTCTGCCGAGGTATCTGAATCCGATTCATCGGATTCGTCGCCCGATTTTTCAGCTACCGACGTTAGCAAATGATGATCCTTGGAGCCACTAGACGTCGTGCGACGTCTATTATGACGGGAAGCATGATGACCATGTGGATCCACAGCGCTCTCGATGGTGTCAATGCGTGTTTTGATTGTATCCAGGGACTCGGCTATGCTGGTCAGCTGCTGCTTCTCGTCGGATGTTTTTCCGTGGGTGCAAAAAACGCAACGGAATAGACCAGCTAACGAAAACTCAATGGAGCCTTCCTCATCATCATTATCGCCTATACCACTTTGTAGGAAGCCTAACATGCTTTTTTGTTTTACTCGCTTCTTGGCTTCCTCAGCGGCTTTCTTTTCCGCCTCCAACTCCTTTTTGGTCTTTTTGGCGACAACCTCCCGAGTGCCCCAGGAGACGACGTTCAAATTGATGATAGAGTAAAGAATAAGGAGCAGATACATAGAAGGTATTGATAATAAATATATTAAGCCGCATGTTATACACCAAAATTCTTGCGGATGCAAACATGCGGCTATGAAGAATGAGCCCACCATTGATATCAAAAAGATGGCCGAGGGCGAACCAATTCCGTCCTCTCCCAACTGCAGTGCTGTGCCCACTATCACAGCCATCATAATAAGAGCATAGCAAGTGGACAGCACCTGGGCTACAAAGAGTTGAATATTGGACTTGCACGTGAAACAAATTACCATAAAGGCCAGAATAGGTACAATGTTGTAATGGAAGGACGTCCAGTTGTCAATTCGAAAGGCGGCGACAAAGGCACCCACTAACATAAGAAAGATAGTTCCAGGACCCAAAATGGTGCCACCCATCAACATCATCTGGTAGAAAACGTACAGCAATGATATGTTATCATTTATCTTAATAGTGCGTTTCGCATCGCCAAGAAGATCCATGATGTTTGCTATAGTCGAAGGCACCCAGCGACGACGTTGATTGTAGAACTCGTTAAAGCCTTCCGGACAATGGGTGTAGGCGTCCGACGCAGCTGAGTACTCCACTCGATATCCACGCTGCAGCAATAAGGTACACAGCCAGCGATCCTCGCCCTGATCATACTGTACATAGTGACGTGCTTCTGTTGGTTTCGTTGTATACTTTTTCATCACATTATCATCCATCAGTGCCTTGCCACGGAACAGTGAAAAGCAGCCGGGAGAACAGAGCACACATCCAATCATGTGCTCAGTTGCCTTTTGCAGCCAATGACCGATCGCGTATTCAAATAGCTGATACCACACCATGGGTCCTGATCCCACGGGATGAATACGTCCACATGCAGCGCCTAGATTTCGGTTTTTCTTCATTAAATCGACCAACAGGGTGACAGCATTCGGCTTGAAATCAATATCGCCATCAAGTGTGAGCAGATAAGTGTTTTCCGCAATGGCGTCCTTGCGATCAACAGAGATGGGCAGCTCCATTAGCCGATGACCAAGCAGATAGTACATATACATAACTTGCGACCAGCGCTTTCGATGACGTATCCGATCTTTATCTTTAAGATGTGCAATGAACTTTGTTTTGCCAGGTAGGGTCCATACTAATCGGCCGCCATAGGGTGTTGGATATTTTTTGGGTGGTCGCAATCGAATCGTTGTCTGATGGATCTCAGAGGCGGCTTCATCCATGGTACCAATCAACAGCTTTACAAAACGATTGCATTGAATATCATCGTCACTATGATCCGAAATCTCAAAAGCATCATCAAAAAAAATGTGAGCTGTAAGAGTAGGATTAATTGTAAGAAGGAAGGTATCATTGTTATTAAAAAACGAGAAAGAAAGGCTATCTTCGGCACGCTGAAGATCTAAAATCATAGTGCTGTGCCCGTATTTAAGAAGCGCAGGGAAAATAATTAATGCCGAGTTTGGTCATGATATCTTGATAAACGAAAATGTTTTTTATAAAACAACTTAATTTTCGACCGATCGTTCCTATAGCAGCTATATGATATAGTGATTCGATCTTAATAGGATTTTGCATATATATGAGGAGAATAGTAAAACTAATAAATTCCGATTTTGGTCAAGATATCTTGATAAACAACATTTTTTGTTCCAGCTGGTTTTGACATATATGCTGCGTGCAACAGAATGAGGGACTTCTACTTTATGGGGTCGGAAATGTCTCCTTCTATGCGTTACATATTTCACGACAAAATTATATAACCCTCTGCAAGGGTATAACAATAAGATCACTTACTCTCAAACTCATAATAGTCTGGATCCAGCACTCGCAAATACTTTTGGGCAACACGTCGAGCGCACTGATCCTCGTCCATTCGCATAATACTTTTCAAGAACTCGATCATTTCATCTTTGGTTTCATGCCACATAGTGGCGCATGTGTAAATACGAGTTATATTATCTGAAGATTTGATCGAGGGCTTGTTCGGCGCCGAGGAGCGATCGGTATGTACTGAAATAGTCTCATAGTACTCATCACCCTTTTCCTTTTCAATCTCCGACAGATCCTGAAATTAGTATGTCATATAAAACCGAGATAAATTTAAATCAATCTCAAGTTACCTCAGTTTTGACATCCGCTTGGTCATCGCGTCTTCTATTTAATGCCATGGACTGATCGATTAGTAAAGCCGAGTACATGGGTCTAACAAATAGTTTTTCTGTAGTTGCTAATCTCTCGCACTTGGGCGTCCAAATGTGTAGGGCAATCCACGTTTGGCTGAGAAGCCACAATATCCAGGCCCACGCCATTTGCTCAGTGACAAAATTATTAAATCTAAAGTTGGATGGACTGGTAAAGAACAGATAGTCCGGTATAGTATCGTGGAAAAAGCAAGGATCATCAATACGTATGCCACACGCTGCAATCAGGAATGAGACAGCAATTGGCACGGTAAGGCTCACGGGGAAGGCATAGCTGAAGCCCTGTATAAGAATCTTGCAGGCAAACTTTCCGAATATGTAGCATAAATAAGCTCCAAAGACCTGCAGGAGCAGAACATACACCACCGTGTTGTAGGCGGCATCCACATCTACCGTATCTATATTGGCTGACTCTAAGGTATCGGGTAGCACTCCTCCTAAGCCGGCCGGTAACTCATAGACAATTATCTTATGAGGCCCAAATGCATCGCCGTAGAGGCTGAAAAGATTACTGGGCTCCTCGCCGTTTGCCCAATATATGAGCAGAGTGACGCAGAAGAAAAGCAGAATCTTCCAAATTGAAAGGAACATATGACAAAAGTAACGCGTATTATGCATCTCCTCCTTGATGCGTCCCAGGGCACGTACGATGCCAAGCGGTGATTGCGCAGAGACGTAATTCTCCCACCAGCCACATGAGATCATTACGCAGGCCACCGGTATAACCCAGAGCTCGCGCCGGTTTTCCAGTAGGGGCCAGATAACCAGGCCGGTGACCTGCGCTGCAATTGCAGCCAGATCGATGATGACTTTAATGAAGCGCTTACCCTCCTTGGAGGTACGCGAAAGCAGTCCAAAAATGCCAGGTATCACGCAGAGGCAGTTGGTTAACATTGCGCCTTGTATAGCATCAATCTGCGGCAGCACCACAAACATCAATAACGCTGTGCCCAGAGCGCTAAAGCTCTCCATCATCCAGACGAACAAAAAGTGACCTGTTTTCGGTACCTTGAAAGTTTTAAAAAAGCAAATTCGCACCGATCGTATCAGCGAGCCGATCTCGGGAAGGGAATATGCAATCACTAGCGCCCAAATCCAGGCAATACGTTCCTCCTCAGGTAGTCGCACAACGAAGCTTTTGTCGCGGCCCTATGTAGAAATTGGCATTTGTATTGATTAAGTGACTGATAATCACGTTTGCCTTACCAAATCCTTGTTGCAGTATTCAATCTTGCGATCCTTCCGCACTTGTGAGGTCATAAAAAGAACTGTTCCTTTGGCTATAACGCCACCGGTTAAGACTATGATAAAGGTGAATATGTAGGCGAAGATTTTTAAAATCTTAATGGTTAGCTCGAGACATTCTTGGTTTGCCGTTGAACCGGTCTCAATTTTAATTGGAGGATCACGAAATACATCCCAGCCTTTTGTTTCCTGTATTGTGCGTTGGCTAGAAAGCAGGTTTCAAAATAATTAGAAGCCGAAAATCAATGAAGCTGATGGTTAGAAAAGTTGTATGATCATCATGTTTTTTGAAAGTTCAGTTTTAATGGTCAAGAAGAGGTTGGCGTTACTTCCAGTTTTCAATTCGCTGAGAGTAATTGTCATTGGAATGGCTACACATTTCATTGAAAGTGATTATTGAGCAGCGGTTGCTCAAGATTTGAGAGAAGGCGGACCGCTATAGATGTGTTGTGCAGAACGGCAATTAATGTTGTTTGTATGGATCGTTTTTGTTCCGGTTTGTTATTACAACAACAAATATTAAATATGAGGGTATATTTCTGGTTGCTCCCGAGAAACCCTCCAACTATTTGCAACATTGCAAGACTTACCTGCCTCCATAAATATCGTGTGTCAATGGTGAGCTCTCGTCGTCGGTAAAGTTATTGTCATCGCTATCGCCATGCTCCCCAGTGGCTGGCGGAGCCATCGGGCGATGCCGCACCGCAGACATCTCCCACGGTTATTGCGACCGAGCCCTGCTGTTTGGAAGTGCTCAATCTTGAAGTCAAACTGTTGCTGAAGTGGAAGTGAAAATTAATTGAGTCCAGTTATAATGCACGCGAATTTATCACCAATCTGTAAAAGCAAACTATTGTATGTGTATAGGCCTTTAAGGACTTCCAACCGGTCCATCGAGCCTGAAGGGCTGGTCTGACATACACGCGAGTCATGATCGTCTAAAATAACTTACTAAGCAAAGGGGAAAGAGAACTGGCAATTACTGTGGTTTCTGTCTAAGAGAAAAACTGATTGCTTTACTCTGTTGCACATATTTAGTAAAACAAAGAAGTCGAGCACGATCTGTGGGCGAGACGCATGTGCCTGAGCCGGGCATATGTATCGGATGCGCCTCTTTGGCACGGAACTAAAGCTTTTGCCAATTTGAATTTATGATAATTACGAGCACGTATGTTGTTGCATGTACAAATACCTACTCATACATTGTTCTTTTCGCAGGCCTTGTGCCACATTTTAGCAGCACCGCATCGGATTTCTGTTAGCCGTGGAAGCAAAGCATGATATAAAAAAATTAAATAGATGCTGATGACCAAGCGATAGCAAGTTGAAATGCTAACAAGGATTAAGTTGTGCATCGGCAACTTATGTGCGCTTAAATTTAACTCTTTTTTTGACAATTTACTTTGCAGTTTTGATAAAAAATAAAATAAAACTTCTTAAAGCACTAGTTAAAACTAAGGAATTAAGCCAGCATTTCTTAAAATCTGCGACTTGAACTCTCGATGTCGTAAAACGCCTCGGAAGATTCTTCGCCGCGTACATCGTAAAAGCAATAGGAAGGAGCACTAGGTCCTCTACAATGGCCATGTACAATGCCAGTTAATGTGGCTTGGAGCTTGACTTTGGTGGCAACAGCAGGCGCAGAAACGTTTTGGGTTCTAAGATTACTGGATGAACTGCTAGGATTGCTTGCGACATTCAAGGGAAATGGTCTGCGAGTATTTTGTGCCTTGGAGCCTTCTGAATTTCGCCGACTTGTTATGAACGCCCTAGTAGATTTGGGCGGTGGCAGTGAATGCTCAATATGTGGTCCTTGATTAGATTTGTTTTTAAAAGAACTCCCAGAATTTTGATTTACTGGTGTCGGCTTCAGAACTGATGGTGGCGATCGAGTCTTGGGGCTTGGTTGCAATATAAAGTTAAGTAACTCATTGTTGGTCTTGTATGTTTCAAAGAATTTGATCTGTTTATCCCTACTCCTATCTTTTGCGGCCATGTGACTACACTTGGCTACATCTGACGGCATAATTTCAACCAGTTGCGTCAACGGAAGCAAGTCGAAAACAAATTTGCGATTTTGAAGTTTTAACACATCCTGGATGGTATTTGGAATTTTAGACTTCTTTTGTTTGGGCATTGTTTTGGTTATATTGTGTTCTCATGGAGCCGGTATTATAATTCGGTTGTACAATTTTGAGTCTGGACAGATTAAAAAAAAGATTTATTTTTAAGGTTTCTATTGGGTAGATTAAAGCAAAGGTATGTAGACTAGTAATAATCCACAGTTTGCAATCTGTTGGCTAGCCGGGAAGTTAGGTTAATAAAATGATATATATTTCCCGAGCATAAACAGAATTTTATTATATAATACAATAATTCCATAATGGGAAATAGGCCGTTGCTTATAGAAAGGCCAAAGATGCTGTTAGCAACCTGGCGCCTGCGCGGAAGACGTCGACATGGGGTCATCAACTTTATAGTCATATGATTGCAACCCCCAACAAAAGTCGCAGCTGCTGTAGTCACACCCACCCTCAACGCAATGTTAAGGATAAGGGTGGATAGTCATTATATGTGTTAGGATGCTCTAGCCTGATTATGGTTTTGCTGCGTGCCTCTTTCGCTGTTTATAAGGCCGCAACAAACGCCGCTTTACAACGGGACCGTGTGGCCTAATGGATAAGGCGTCGGACTTCGAATCCGAAGATTGCAGGTTCGAGTCCTGTCACGGTCGTTTTTTTTTAGCAATTCTTTTTTAATTTTTTTATATGTGCTCGTAAGCGTATATTTTTTTAGAAAATGCAGACCTACTGAACTTAATTTTTTTGATTACAAAATTTATTTTAAGCCTCTTTAAACCTCTTCAAAGGAAAGAAGTTTAAGTTGATTGAACTGACTTGACACATTGGTCATTAAACAGTTCACGTAATAAGTCTAGTAAACCCCTAGTTCCAACCGACGAAAAAGTAAATAAAAACACAAAACGTGCTGGCCATACCAAATGTGAACTAAACATAAAGATTTTCCGTTGAAAACTTATTATTATGCATTCATGCCAACACTATGAAAAGTGTATGAATGTGTCTATAGCTAGAAAAGTCGAGCAGCAAAGGATTAAATACCATAGCGAACAATGTAATGATAATGCCTAGTAGTTCATTATGGCTCTGAACACAATATTCATAATACAAATTTGTGCAATATGTATTTCATACTTGAGTATATTGTTGAGCTGTACATCGTGATTCAATCAACAGCTTAAACGCCGCTCAACCCAGCAAATACAAAGGCAAAAAAAGTGAAAGTCTAAAAAATGTTATAATAAAAACAATCTATGAATAAGATACTACTAGCCAAGACCCAACAGCAACAGCATTGCCGTCATGCCAACAACAACTCAGTAGTTGCAACTGTTGCTGGCTGCTGGTTGAATTTGATTGCTACATTTAACAACGGAAACAAAATCAAACCAATCGAACCGAACGTGTCCAAACCGGCCACGCCAAGCTGTCCGGCTGTCCGGCAGTCCGACAACTGAGTCCAACTTGTATTATAAGCATTGCCAGCCAACCAGTTTTTAAGTACTGGAGTACTACAGGAACAGTGAGCGACTTGAAAAGTATGCGAAAAACATGCCCAAACATAAATGATAATAGTAGAAACAAATGCTGTCAGAATGGTGACATAGGAAGATAATATGGACTAAACCGGATTGAACAGTTGTATTAAAGTAAGTCTGATCTAAATGGAGAACAGTTCAGGTATATCGGTCTCAGGTATTTATCGTGTTCGGTTCGGATTATTACAGGTACGCTTTACATATGTGTTTTACATATAAGCAGAGTTAGTGTAATTCTTGAATTCCCCTTGCAGTTCAACAAACCTTTCAATTTCCTTTCAAGACCTGTCAATTAAGAGTTCTTTAATATGTTTTTGTTTCGCCAACTCATTGAGTCAAGTTCCAGTCATAATACTGTTATACAGATACACATAAATAAATTCAAGACCTCAACCAACTCTGACTCACAAAATTTGAAAGGCTAGTACGCCTTCCACTGAATTCCATCCGTACTGAATGCCATTTTTGCCCATAACTAAGGACTCTCCATACAATATGCATATGTATTTTAATTATGCACCATGATTCACAAAGTTTACTCATAACCAAAAATATGGGTTTTACGCTATGCGTAACTTAATTTTAATCTGGTATTACATTTTGGGCTTCACCCATTACCAATTAACATGGGTAAGAAGGGTAAAGTTTCACCGATGTATGAAAGAGACAAATTATATTTTGATTGCATATGAACAGTTTTCGCCTTTCCAACTTTACGTAAAAAAATCAAAAACAGTTATCAATCCAAATAAGAATGTGCCCGATTTGAGCAATAAACATTTAATATTTGCGGAGACATTTTAGCTGAGCGCAAAAAGACGTTGTCTGAAATTTAAATTAGAAAGACAAACAGTGGATAAGAGAGCCAAAAAAATATATGGAGAGAGAGAGAGAAAGAGAGAGAGAGAGAGAGAGAGAGAGAGAGAGAGAGAGACCGACACACTGCTTGTATATCTCCACAGTGAAAAAAAACTTTATCTTGGTTTCTTGGCTTGCATGTAGGCGGTTCGGCCTTTAAAATTATGCGAAAATTGACTGGCGCAGATTAAAAAAGCCAATTAGATGAACGCCCTGGATAGCATCTGGATACTTTTATAATTGACATTTTTGCAAGGATTCGATTTAGTGAATTTTAGCTGTTGATGCCAGCCACAGCCACACCATCTATATAATCTGCTAATTAAGGCTTATAAGTTATAGAACAACTTGTTTTTAAGGTGTGTTTGTGTATCTCTTTATATTTTTACGAAACGGGTTTTGGTACACAACGCAAAATCATACCGAATTTAAATCGCAAAATAGCTCGTTTTTATTTTATAAAAAGCAAAAGTGTTGCCAGAGTCTTACACAAAACCCGTTAGTCAGCAAAAAAAAGAAGTGAAAGAAAAATAAATCTTAGCTAAACAGAAAGAGACTACTGAATAAACGAGAATGAGATTGTGCTTTGTATTTGTCTGGCGCATAACTTTCACATATAAAAATGTACCGTTTGATGCCACTGGGAATGGCGACAAAATAAAAAGAACAAAAGAAATAATATTAGTACAGTTAATCAGCAGAAGTGAATGCTGTTATGAAAGCTAAGAGCTTCTTCACAGTAGACTGCTCTTAACTATTTCAGCGCACTTTATCTTCGTTTTCACTTAACATATACACTTTTGACCTTTACATAAATTTCACTTTTCTGTATTCTGCTAGGATTTCTTTACAATCTTTATAAATACGTTTTTCACACACACATACGTATTTTTTATTTTTCTCGAATCGTCTGCGTGGCTCAAAACTTTTGAAATACAAATTGTATTTATCATTTAATTTCTTTCGTATTATTCGTTATTTCTTTTACTTAACCGTTGCCCGAGTTGTCTTGTTTTTTGTTGTTGCTGCTGCATTAAACTTTTAGCCAGCTATACACAAATACATGTTTGTATATGTGTGCATGTACATGTACATGCATACGTATACGCCTGCGCGCACGTACCGTTTATGAGAGCGAGCCCCAGACGTGATATTTGCTTTTAGCCTTTTCTTTTATCCGCGCTAAGCTCTTTTCGAGTTCGTTGTCTTCGCCAAACTAAATTGAAGTCTTTCGTTTGTGCTTATTGGAAGTGGACGCAACTGTGGCTCTGGGCATGACTTTGATTGCTACTTCTTTAGCTGAAGCCGTTGGCAACTGGAAGTAAAATATGAGCGTGGTTGTTTGTTGAGTTTTTCTTGTTAGCTTGTACTTGCTTTGCTCTTCGGTTCAGTTGGCTGTTGTCGTTCTAGTGGCAATGTATGGCCAGTATGTGTGTACACTTTAAGAAGTTTTTACTCTCTTATTTTCACTTTTTATTAATCTCTTTTGCTAGCCGCTTGAAATCATAATATTTTGCCTCTTCCTATCTAGTGAATATAAGGTTTGTTGTTTGCTGCACAAATACATGTTTTTTGCGACAACTTTGTCGAGGTCATCTGGTTTCGTTTTCTTGTACCCTTTACCCATTAATACTATGTGAAAGAGAATGATGAAGCTGATGAAGCTATATCCGAATGCAAAAAATATATATTTATTATCCGAATGTCGACTGAGGATCAATTAACAGAAATATACATAGTTTCTTTTATAGAATAAGATTACCAAGCTTATTTTACTTAATTAATATTGCCTCAGCTACATCGTAGTTTTTTTTTTTTATTTTTGAAAAATGCTCGCCATTTTCGGCGATTGTCATGCCATTAATAAAACATATATGATGGACCACTATCTTTGTGATATCCATTAATTCAAGTAAGGGATACAGAGTTTGTAAGTTTTACTTAAGTAATAAAATTAGCTCTCTTTGCGATGAACATGTGTGTAGTACATGTGTATTTTCGTGTTTATATGAACAGATGGGTAAGGGGCAGCTTTTCGAGAAAAAGCTCAACATTGCTTGTTTCTCTCTTTGACGGCACCAAATAAGTAAGTAAGTAAGTGCTACCTCTCCTCATGGGAAGCACATAATCAAGCGATACAATGGGAAAAGCCATCTGTGGGAGCCTGTCAACGTAAAGCGAACGACCAGTGCCTGTTTAATAAATTATTTGTTTTAAAATATAATAATAAGGAATAAGAAGAAAAACATTTGAGCAAAAAAGGAGTAAGAGAATGATGTGTTATCGTCTCTAATGGGGGAGGATGACTTGTAAATCTAATGTATTAAGAAAAACAAATCCATTTCGATTTTATTATCTAAAACAACTTTCTATAACCCAAGAGCAACCGACTTATAGCGGAGAGTTGACAAACTTTTTAAAATACGTTTAAATATATGCGATTAATATCGATTAGAAAGCATGAGAAAATTCGGTCACATTGCATTCAGATTGTTAAGGCTCGTATATTATCTTTATCAAAAGGCCAGCAGTTTAGTTCAAATCGAGCTACAATTGAATTTTAATCGAATGGTATATAAAAATGTAATTACTGATACATAACAATTTCCTAGAAAAATTACCGTTTCCTATAAGTACCAGTATAATTGTGTTATTTATGTGTAAAAAGAATGCATTATAAATAAACAGTGACAGTGAACGATAAAATGTAATCGAATAACCTATTTGATCTAGTTCCTTAGTTCAGTACAGTGAGTCTTTTGATCGAACTGTATGAAAGGTTCTTTATAACTCTGGCCACATTGCGTTAAAATTGTATGTCGCGTTGTTCGGCTGTTGCTCGTGTAAAAATTATTGAAATTACACAAACGCACACACCGCAGCCATAAAAACATCTTTTAATGTGAGTAAAAGAACAAAGACGGTACAATGGGAGCCTGTGTATGTCGCATGAATCCCGACAATGAGACAATGAGTGTTTCCTCGGCGAGCGCTTCGCGTCCGGCCAGCGCAGGTGAGTAGCCTTTCCACACCAACATCAATTTGCATCCATTATCAAAGTGAAATGCTTTGTTATTGTATGCGTCACATAGGAATCGCTTTGGGGGGCGCTGCGCGCAAGAATCGTCCACTATGCCATGAGACCATTAAGTGGCGCTCGGACGTCCCATTAACTGAAGGTCAACTGCGCTCCAAACGGGACGAGTTTTGGGACACTGCTCCGGCATTTGACGGGCGAAAAGAGATTTGGGATGCGCTTCGAGCTGCCACAAATGCAGCAGAATGTCTGGATTTCCAAATGGCCCAGGCCATATTAGATGGCGCTAATGTGTCCGTGCCCAATGGGTGAGTTTAACTAGGTGACTCCTATCAAATAAATCAAACCCCTCCGCTTCAACGCGGCTGCATTAAACACTAATTACTCTTGACGCCACCTACAAAAAATCAATAAAATGTGATTAAGTTGACCATATAACTCTATTGATGCAAACCCACAACACTTTGCATACCTTCAGTTTATTAACTAATAATACAGAAGTAAATATCAATCTAATTACATTTAAAACATGGTGTGGAGAGAGAATCAAAAAAAAAAAAAAACAAATTGTTTGGAAGACTTAATATTCAAATTAATTTTTTTTTTGTTTAAAAAGAAAAAAGTACGTGACAACTTTTGGATTTAAGGTATACATAATCCATTTTTCATTGACAGTCAAAAATTGCTGTTTATAATGTTCTGGTACACATCGTATCTTAACATTTTATAGTTCAATCATTAAAATGTTGCTATGCTGTTGATATATTTTTTTTAAAACAATGTTTGGTAACTAATTGCTGGTAACATCTATATAACATCCTTCTCTTGCAGCTACCTCACAGAATGCTACGATGAACTGGGTACACAGTACAAGGTGCCCATTTATTGTCTGTCCTATCCCATTAACATTGTAAAAGAGGAGAATGGGCGCGACTCGCCAGCTGAATACTCAGAGCCTGTAGATGGAGGAACCGAAATCTTTCTGAAACTGCGCATATCATCGACCATGACTGATGTTAAACTGCCGGTATATTCAAAAGATACGGTGGGACAGTGCAAAAAAAAGTTGCAGGTGAGTAAGAATAAAACTATTTTATCGATAGAGCTTGTAAATCTGTATTGTTATTATTTTTAATCACGCAGTCTGTAGAAGGCGTCGATGCATGCTGCCAACGTTGGTTCTACAGCGGAAAGCTGCTAGGCGATAAGGTACCCATTGATGAGTGCAGCATACACCAAGGCTATGTGGTGCAGGTCATTGTTAATACAGAGCACTATAATCACGACAACAGCACGAGTATCGTTCATTTGTCGCTTGCGAGCTAGCAATACACCAACTCCATACTAGTCAACTTAGGCATCAACAGCAATAAGCTTTGTGAACAACGGCAATTGGCTAGCAGTGACAACAACAACAATTCCAAGCACTCCGGCAGCAACACAAAGAGCTTTAATATAAAGCACAAAGAACCAAAACAAAAACATCGACAACTAACGTATTGCATTTATCCAAAGCACACGCAAAATGCCAATAGTTATGTTTTGTTTTTATATTAGCTCGCCTTATTGTTGTTCTTGTTGTTATTGTTGTTGTATTGCTATTGCGAAACATACAATTCTGAGCAAATACAAAAAATTAATGAAAAATGCCTATAAATATAAAAATTAATTATAAATACATATATTTTTTTGATAATAATTATGTATGTTAACAAAATTAAGCAGTCGCTATAAAGAATAATTTGTATAAACTGCTGTATTGAGTAGAAATATTCAAATATGCGCATGAAATTCACAATTAAAAATCAAATAAACAAATGTACATTTCTCATGAAATCAAAAACAAAACTAGAACTCCAAATTCAGAAAAACGCATAATAATTACAAATTGCTTATTAACTAATTATACGCAAACATTTGTATGTATTGTAAAAAAAAATACTGTAGTATTTGGCTGTAATGAAAAAGCAAAGCAAACATTCGCTTAATGTGTCGAAATACTACATCAACTTTTGATACTGTACAAGAAAGCATATATGTAAAAATGTTGGAACGCCGAGCACAAATTTAATGTAATAATCTTTAACAAAAACAAACGAAATTCCAAAAGAAATTGTTAAATTTAATTCTTGCTCAATGTAGTTAACACAATAGTATAAAGTGGTTGAACGGTTGGAAACGTTAATATCGGATAGAGTAAACCCAAGTACCTTATAAATGTATATGATTTTTGCTTATAGTTTTAAAGCCAGAACAGAAATACAATGAAGTGCTTACTTATTTAAAAAAAGATTCTAGTTTTGTATGATTTTCGTTTAAATTATTTATTGCAATATTGAGAAGCACTTCAAATTGAGACCATGCGATATTAGACTGAGCAAATCGCTGTTGAACGCAACAAATGGAATACAATAATTGTTAGATTTTATAATTATTTAAAATATGCTTTTGTCTGGAAATAGTAACGAACAATGTAAACAGTTACACCGCACCGGCATATCTTTGCCATTTAATGTTTATGTGTACTTCTTTTTATGCATTTTTTTTTTTAAATTTTAGTAACTGTAATATATTAAAAAAAAAATAAAATGGAATTGCGAGTCAAGCATTCTTTATCCACGCGCATCCATTTTTTGCAATAGAGTCAGGAAGGAAAAGGCTGTTGCAATAGTCTGTAAGACAAGGAAGATTGATAATAATATGAGAGGTATGTTAATATATTATGTTAATATTAAAAGACACCACTTACAGATCTCAATCGGTCCACATTCAGATTGTATATTTTACCAGCAGTCAGTCGAAAGGTTCGACGGGAATTTATCAAGAAAATAATATAATCGCTGCGCAACTGACGCAAATGCAGTTGCCAAGGACTTCGCAAGAGTGCATCCCCACATCGTTGACTGTTCTGATACACAACATCAGCAAAGTAGCAAATAATAAAGAGCTCATAGAGGACTAACAGCAGATACTGGCCCAATGACACCATGCGCATCAATGAATTGACCGTAGTGCTCTTTATTGAAACAAAAGCCACCAGGCACATAAGAAAAGTAACTTCGGCGATTTTGAACAACCAAATGGGATTATAGAAACTTTCCATTTTTTGCAGAATTGATATAATATAGTTATGTTGCTGCACACATCGCTTTAATGAGTGGTTGAATGCGGTGGGGAAGGTAGTAATTTTGTTTCGTTTTTGTTGCTGCATAAGTTTTTCCAGTGGAGTAGTAATTTCGTAGGAGTAACAAAATTGATTTAACTCGTCATCCGCCACAGATTGTGCATTTTGGAGTTTACTGTGAAATCGATAAGGTAAAATTTATTGCATGATTTTGTCTTGTCTAATATGAAGGAAATAACCTTAGCTCGGCCATATTCGCGCCCATCTTCAAATAACTAGTAGCTAGAATATTCTTCAGGCTACAGGACAACATATCATATTGGCCAGATATTACTATACCTAGAACCATATGAAACCCACTGGAAGAAGCAAAGGCGGCAGCCACTTGAATCTGTCCGACAGCCTGAAGAAAGAAAACCAATTCATAGACAATCGGTTGCTGTCAAAAATAACAAAATAATATACAAGAGCTCCTTTTTTTGACTTCATTCCGACTTACGCTATAATTAAACGGATACCAACATGCTAAGGGCAGACTTCTGTCTCGGTAAACTATGGGCAGCATCAACCAGAATATGGTTCCCACATAGCAACAGTAGACATAACTTTTGATCCATAAATTAGACTGACGCAGGGCTTCTGTGACGGTCACATAGGTAAATCCGTACGCCGAGCGTATCTGATGTTTTTCATTGACAGAGCTAATTATCTCATTTAAAAGCTTGTGTCTGAAGCGTCGAAAGTATAACTTCATTGTAATTGTCCACAGATAGATCACCGTTTGTATAAGACAGTTGACAAGAAACTCTAGATCACCTTGGCCGTAGTAAATGTAGATAGTATAGATAAATAATATGGCTATGTGCATGCATACAAAGTAATTAAATATCTCGTAGATCCAATTCAACACGATAAGCAAGAAATTTAGGCAGCTGCTTTGATTTCCCATTCGAAATGGATACATGCCAGCCACGCGCATCGTCGACAGTATAAAGACGAACAGATCGCGGCGTTGCGACTCCTCTTTAGTTGGAATATCTGAGCATTTCATGCTGTTCTCTAATACTGCTATACTAATCGAATATTATTTGAATGTTCACGCTTTTAAATAGTTTGTGAATAGTCATAATATTGTGTATTTATATATAAATTTTAAATTATTAGGTTCAAGGCGACCATTTGCTGTCAAAACTTTTTATTGAAATTATATATATTGTTAATAAATTATAAGCCAAAAACTTTTTTAATACTTTAATTGGTATCCATGGTAAGTCCATAATTAAATTACCTTATTTCATTGCTTTACTTTCCGATTGAAAAGTAAAATAAGGCAATTTATTCCCCAATTTTATGGGGGAAGGGCGGTAAAAATATAAATGTCACCTCTTCTCCTATTATTTTGAATGGCAGTCAAACTTTCATAAAAATTAATCTTGTAGAAGAATCTAAACTTGTGTGTAATTCATTCCTTAATTTGCTGTATTTTCTTTATTGTAATTACTGCGATTTTCAGCGATGTGAGACAACATGAGGTACATATATAGGAAATGAAGCGTAAAGCGAACAATATTATTGTGTATGGGCTAAATAAATGATTGGTTAATGTAAAAAATGTAAGTACACATGAAAAACACTTTGAATATAATTGTAATCTCAATCTATGTTTAGCTGACGGAAGGTGCCCTCCATGCCAAACAGATCATCGCTTGTCTTTGGTGCGCCTGGGCGTAATGATTCATTTGCCTTTTTGTCCTCTTGCTCCTTAAACCACTCGGTATTATCAGCCAATTTCTGTTTCCACCACTGGTTGAGCTCAACAATTGGTCCCGCCTTGCCGCCATATTCATTGGGCAGCAAGTCACGTGGCACCACCTTGTAAAGGCTCTCTACATCGTTGTGGAAGGTAATACGGCTGCGAATCTTCTCCTTGACGAAGGGCTTAACAAAGTTAAATATGGTGTCCACCAATGGAGAAATGTTGATCACATGCACCTCCTTCACCTTAACTGGATACGCCTCCTGTACGGCAATCAAAAACTTCTTCACCACCGTCGGCGAGAATTTAGCAAAATGTGATGCACTAGCTACAGCCGCATCCAAAATGAACACATCGCCGGCAATGCCCACGGACTCCTCCGCCAAGCGGACATCGCCAATCATCAGAGCCACCTTCATTGCATCCAGAATATGATGTGGCTGAAAATCGCAATCAATGCCGCGAATAAACGTAATGCGTCGTCCATTGGGCGTTATTCCCGGAAGTGTGGGGCAGTGACTGTTAAAAGGTAGGTAGGTATATTAGGTAGGATGATCGAATGTATATTGTTGATTATAAGTACACATAGTCCAGGACAATGTTCAGCTCCTCGCGATTTATGTCACGATTGGCAAAAAACTCGGGCACTGCATTCCGCATCGTATAGTACATATCCAGCTTCTTCTTCACTTTCTCTAGGCTGAATTTGCAGCCTCGCAAGAAAGTTGTCAGCCGCATATCATCCATATCCTTAGGCAGATGTGGTTGGGTCTCCAGCCACTCACGAATCAGTTTAATATCACGCTCAATATCAGCTGGGTCCTCAGGTTCGCGCAACTCCTCGCGAATGCTTACTCGCTGTGCGGGTGTGGGATGTAGCATCATCATCTGATCAAGTAAAGACAAGGAATACCAGATGAAATAATGCCAAATGGGAAACAGAAAGAACGGGTGCATTTTATAAGTATTAACACCTGAACGCAGGTGTAGGTAGGAAAAAAATCTGAATGCATTATTTATTTTAATAAAAGTTTTTGACTCTTTCAAGCCAAGCAACTTTCATTATATTGTCTAATAAACTCATCAGACCCATTTGTTACTTGCCCAATCATTATTTTTTTTAACGTATTATCTTCTATCTAACATTCATTTTAAGATTTTAATTAAGCTACGGTGAAATCTCTACCTGAAGTCACACGCGACTGCGTCGTGTCATTAACATGGCCAGACCCCTTATACGACTTTACATTGTCAAAATGTAGCCCCTGCGATTGCTGTACACGGCCGTAGTTAGACCCGGTCCCAGTCATAGTACTGTCACGCCCACTTGCGTAAGGTGTTTTAGCTCGGCCCAAATCAACTGCGAAGCGACCTCAAAATAAAAACTGTTCATGGTTCACGTTTATTTGGCAATTTCAGTTGACTTTTGATACACTAGCAGCAATTTTAACAACAACAACATTTGCCTCCATAAAAGTAAGTACAAAAAAGAAAAAACACTTTAAACAACAATAACAAATATGTTTTGAATAACCTAATGCAAACTCAAAACGTAGCAACAGCTTAAACTAAATTCAGCGTTAATTGAGCCGGAAAAGCAATATTTAAGACTCTTACCTCAAACCCTTGTATTTAAATGCATCTTTTGTAATTAAGTCTTGGCTACGCCACACTTTGACCTCCCAACGGTTATTTCTTTATATTATTATTGGTTGACTTTGGTTCATATACTCTTTGCTTTTTTGTGTGTGTGGGAAATTCGAAAATGTTTAGATTAAAACCTATTAACTAACATAATCTTTGGAAGGTGGCTACATCTGCAAATTCCTAAAAAGTATAAGGAAAACCGATAGATGAAGACAAACTATTTAGAAAACGAATTGAGGGTTGAAATATATTTAAATTAAGGGATTGGTTAGTCAAGAGATACTTTTTTTTTTTTTTTTTTTTTTTTTTTAAATTTTAGATTCTTTTATTACTGATGTGCTGTTACTATAGTCTAGCATCACATCTGCGTGAGTATCGGGGGTTCATAGTATAATAGCTTTGAGGTAGCTTATTTAGATATTTTTTTATGGTATGTGTTTATTTAAATTAAGAGATACAACTTTAAGGTTATGCAAATGTGGTATTCATACAGGAATTGCAATCCTTATTATATTTTGATTAATTGTAAACTCATTTACTGCAAGGTGCAATAGGAAAAAAATGACTCATTGAGGTCAGTTACACGAAAAGCGAATGTTACATTTTGTGGTTAAGTTAAAAAAAAAAATTGTTGCAAAAGCAAAACGAAAATTGCATATTTCCAAACCACGTGCTGTATGGTATTCTCTCAGCAGGAACCACATCAACTAACAGTCATGCAATGAACATCAACAACAATTACTATCGGTTGCAAATTTGATTAACGTGGATGTATACCATATATTGGATGTGTATGTGCTGCTTGGGTATTGTGAGGCAACTAGGCACACAATTCTCTATGTACACTCATGTGGCTTTGTTGTTGTTGTTGTTGTTGTTGTTGTTGTTGTTGTTGCTACTGCTGCTAATGGCCATTGCGTTTACTGCAAATGTTGCCTGCAACAACTTCAAATATTGCGAAAATCTTCGCGAAAACCAAATGTAAGGCGGTTAAAACAGAAACGGGTTTATTGTCTGGCTTTTGGTCTTTGGGTCTAATTGGTACTCCGTTTCTTTCTCCTTCTGTCTTCTATATACATATATGCCATTATTGTTATTACCTTAATGTTGCTTATGTTGTTCGTATTTGCTTTATAGTTGTGCAGTATTTCAGAGTTTTTCAGCTGAAGCGGATGAGAGAATGATTGATATATTTGCCAAGTTAAAAGTAGTATTGTAAGTAAAACTTGGACAAAATGGTGTGAGGCAAAGCCATGTAACTAATCAAAGCCAAACTTTGTGTATATCTGGTCTATTTTGTTAATTGTTAATTTAAAATGTGTATTTAATCACAATTAAAATTGCTTCAGAAACGATTTAAAGAATTTTTCAGATTATTGTTCTCAATTATTCCTATGTCACAATTGCCCATTGGCAATTTAAGACCGTTTATAATTACATTTTTTCTTCTTTGAGCACAATTCAACTGAACATAATTTGCACACATTTTATTATTGTTATTTCACTCATTTAAATTCCATGCTGCATTCCGAATGTGCGAATACATGACAAAGATGTGAAATGCAAATATATATTGGTATGTGGAATTTATATAGAATATCGGATAAAAGGCCATGTTGATTTAAATATTCCTGAATAGCCGGCTTTATGTAAAGTCGAATGAGTATTACAGCTCACCTTGATTTCGTTGTTAATTGGATAGTCAGCTGGTAATCCTTTTTGGGAGCTTTGGCTTTAAGTATCCAATGGGCAACGTAGGAATGGAATATTAAACGCACAAAACACGACCGAAGCGCTGAAGACGGTAACTAAATCTGATCGTTTTGAAACAAGTTGCAGCGCATATAAATACTTCCACGCGAGCAACGACGAAAACAAAAAAGCCAGCTGACGAACGACCACGACGACGATTGCAATAGCAACAACATGAGCAGAAGAAACCCGAAAGCCGTTAAACAGATCATGCCAAGAAAATCGGTCAAAGAGAAAAATCTGCACGAACCAGCAACTGTCTGCATCTGCGTAAGTCTAAGCGGCATGGCATTGAGGGGTGCGCGAGGCTCGCAGGCACGAAAGCTTTGCTGCCATTTGCGCAAGAAAAGTTCAATGAGCGCACATCGGCCACAGACCCGCCACGCTCCACTGCCAGCCAGCCGTTCAGACGAGTAACACAACGGTCAGCCCAAAAATTTTGTCAACCAGGCTTAGTCAAGTTCCGAACCGTAGAGTGGTAGTAGCTAGCCAAGTTTGTGTCTTCAGTCTTTTATTTTTGTTCTTTGAAGGCATGGTGCTGTACAAATGCGCTGCCCCGCCCTTTGCAGATTATTCCACCTATCAGTCATGGTAAAAACTGCTGCGTGCAAGTTGTAAAAATATATATATTTTTAACTTTCCAAGTATTTCCACTTAAGAAAAATAATAGTAATATCTTATGCCCGCCATGTGAGCTATGACGAAAACTGTGCGGCAGACAAAATGTGTAGCTAAATCGTTGCCAATCGTCGAATATAATTGAAACGCATTGGCGTGCACATTGGATTTCAAATCAAATAAGTTTTGCCATAATTATATCATTTGTTTTTTTTTCGACATTTTTCAATTAAGCAATTTGACCAAAGCAGTCCGTAATATTGTCTACAGCAATACTCTACTATACGGTTTTTACTAACAACATAAGGGTCGTTGAACTTGTGTCAGTGCCAGGAGTGTTTCCTCATTTTCATTCAAATGCAAAATGTTTTCTATAACGAACACCGGTAATAACTTTGCCACAGATTGCGTTTAAGCTTCATTTTGTTTTTATTGTTCCACGTGATGATTGCTTACAATTATTCGAACTCTTAAAAAGGGCTTTTATAAACCTTACTTTTAAGAACTGAAGGTTACGCTTAAACTAAAGTTGTGTTTATTGAGCATTTTACTGCTCTTTTTTTAGCAGATCCAGTTCTAAAAAACTTTTATTATGCTATGCTCATAGTTATATAAGGTAATCCTAATAATTTAAAAGCTATGGTTAAGCTTAAGCTTTCGCCGTGCATTTATGTAATTTATTCAATATCTTTAGTTTAGGGCTAATAAATGTTGCTAACAGTAAAACTAACAACTTTATACTGCACATGTTATTTTGGCAGTTTGTTAAACTATTCAAAGGAATTTACGAAATAGCCTAAAAAATGGAGAAACAATAACAAATCAAGTTTAACCAAAAAAATCTTGCAATTTTAAGAAATTAATGACTCAAAAATGCTGCCCTTTACTGCTTTCTTCCTCACCTGCCTACAATTTAAGCCCAACAAGTACAATAACAAAGAGAAGAAAAGTAATTAAACAGTAGACTAATAAATTAAGCAGCTGCTGTCCATGTGTGTTGTTGCATCGCGCACAAGTCAAGAAACTTTCATTGCCAGACGAAAGTCTGTGCCATAAAGAAATTAACAGCCAGCACTCATGTAAGCACAAGAGAAAAATGAGAAGGAAATATAAAGAAAAAGAAGAAGAAGGTAACTTGTTGTTGCAAGCTCAAACACACAAATAAGCAGATATTTCGTGTTTCCTGTTTTAGTGTCAGGCAATTAAAGCCGTTAGAAGACCAAATTCCACCTCCCCCCCTCACTGGACCCCAAGTACGATGTATGACCGTACACACACAGCCGTGGCCGCATTTAAGTAAAGTGCGAGTTGTGTAGCGTTGCTTGGAGTTCAGCTCGGTTCAGTTCAGTTGCAGTTGGAGCTGGAGCTTGTGTTGAGCAATTCGAGAAATCATAAACGCGCGCTTTCAAAATGTGTGTGTGTGTGTCTGTGCGATTTTAAAATACATTTTTGCCACATTTCGTTCAAAACTCTCAACACACTTTAATTGCCAACTTCAATTGCTGTTGCAGTTACTGACTAAACTAACAGCTGCTTTTGTTAGCTCTTAATGTGGCTGCCGAAAAAATTTTAAGCAAGTTCTAGTTGTGAGCCCCCGACTAGGGGATACCCTGAACCCTCTTCTTCCAACATCAAATTTATATATATATATTTTATTTTAGAAGCTATATGTCAAGTTTGGTGACTCTAGCTCTTATTATTTACCAAAATTGCCCAAAAAACAGGATATCGATATCGATTTTTGTCGATTGCTTGGAAAAGGAGTAAGTTTTCGATTATCGGAAACAAACTCGATCTGCGCGGAAACTAGGAGCATCTACATCTAAACTTTCAAGCCTCTAGCTCTCATCAGTTCTGAGATCCTTGCGTTTATATATACGGACGGAAGGACGGACGGACGGACGGACAGACAGACGGACATGGCTAGATCGACTCGGCTATTGATGCTGATCAAGAATATATATACTTTATGGGGTCGGAGATGCTTTCTTCTGCCTGTCACATACATTTGGATTTTGCACAAATACAATATACCCTTATACCCATTGTTAATGGGTTCAGGGTATAAAAATATGAGAAATGGCAGACTAGAAATCGCTATTAATAATTTATATTCAATTAAGCGAGATTTCCTCATCTGTCCAGCTAAAATTATTGGCATGCAGCGAAGCGTGCAGTGGGCGAGAATAATTTTGGTCGGAGGGTGTGGTGTATAGGTTGATGATATGATGATCTTAAAGTACAGCCAGGAAAAGAGCTGCTTTCATAAAGCTATTATTCAGAATTTACGTTTTTCAATTATTCTTTTTTTTTTTTTTATTACATATAATATATTATACATACTTACTTACTTACTAGATTGCAGCAACCCATTGAAAATGGGTAAAAGGGTATATTGTATTTGTGCAAATGTATGTAACAGGCAGAAGGAAGCATCTCCGACCCCATAAAGTATATATTCTTGATCAGCATCAATAGCCGAGTCCGTATGTATGTATGAGAGCTAGAGACTTAAAATTTTAGATGTAGGTGCTCCTAGCTCCCGCGCAGATCGAGTTTGTTTCCGAATCTCGATAGCTTATTCCGTTTTCAAGCAATCGATAAAAATCGATATCAATATCCTGTTTTTTGGGCAATTTTGGTAAATAATAAGAGCCAGAGTCAGCGAACTTGACATATAGCTTCTAAAATAGAATACATATATGCATTTGATGTTGGAGGAAGAGGGTTCAGGGTATCCCCTAGTCGGGAGCTCCCGACTAGAACCTCTTACTTGTTTTATTATAACTTCTTAATTGTTGGTGTGGCTGCTGAGCATAGCAATTGGTGCGGTCTGTCGCAAGTTCGAGCCCTATCGGGGAAAGTATTATTATTTTTTTTTTTGCTGGTGTGCTTTTTTTTATTAATTATTTATTTATTTATTTGGTGTTGGAATAAGAGGGTTCAGGGTATCCCCTAGTCGGGAGCTCCCGACTAGAACCTCTTACTTGTTTGCATTTAATCGAGTTTGTAACACATTTATTTTTTGTTCACAGTAATGGGCAAAACACTAATCTTATTGATAATATTGAAAAGAATTAATAAAAAGAATGTGCTTAATTAGTAGTCGAAAGCTTGTAGTTGTTGCTTATATTCGATAACAAGTACATAATTTGGGGAAAATGTTATTGCTGGCTCTGCGGCTATCGTTAGGTATAAAGTTTGACACAATTTGTTGACACTGACAAAAAGCAATACAATTGATCAACCTTAAGGTGGACAGAGTTGTTGTTAAGACTGTAAACCCAACTCATTTAAGTTGTACCAGCACCATAAAGTAAGTGACAACAGCACCGAGCACCTGAAAGAGTTTGAAATTATAAATGGCTTGCATGAGGATAACTAATACTTACCGAGGCAAACAAATCCAGTGACACAGTAAAGAACTTTGCCCCCGATATGCTCATTGCCTTTTGGCATTGCTGGCAAACAATCTGCACAAAAGTCTTGGCTTCCTCAGAGCCATCATACCAATGACAGGAGTAGGCAGCCTCCATGACAGACGAGCTCTGTGTAAGGCATATCGAGTTAGTTCAAGTTTTTTCTAAAGATATGTTCGCTCACCTCCTCAATCAGACGGTTGCCGAAAATGCAAAAGTGAAATACCTGCGCTAGTGCATAACCCAAATATCCAATTACCGTAAAGGCATAGACGTTAACGCCGTTGATTTTGGTTGCCTGATAAGCCAGCAGAGTGAGCATAATTGTCGAAACAAGCATATGTAAGAGCAGAGCAGCGCCGTAGGTATCCCCAATGGCAGCCACTAACCTAAAACCATAGGTTGTATAATAAGGGTCAGCAATTGTGTTAAAAATAATTAATTCATAACGAGAAAGAAGGGCTATCTTCGGCACTCCAAAGATTTAATACCCTTGCAGACCCAACCTTTTTATAGTGCTTAGCCCATATCTAAGAAGCACGAGCAAAATAGGTAATACCGACTATGGATAAGATATCTTGAAAAACAAAAAGTTTTTCATGCAACTTAATTTTAGACATATCGTTCTTATGGAAGCTACATGATAGAGTATTCCGATGTACATGATATAAAGGGCGAGGTTGGTCAAGATATCTTGAAAACCAAAACGTTTTCCATACAACAATTTTATTTTTATAAAGATAGCTTTTAAACTGAGAGACTAGTTCGCATAAAAACAGATAGACGGACATGGCTATATCGACCCGGCTGTTGATACTGATCAAGAATATATGTACTTTATGTGGTCGGAGATGTCTCCTTCTATGCGTTACACATTTCACGACAAAAAGTCAAATACCCTCTGCATGGGTATACAAAATGCATCAGGTAATCAGCAAAAAAATATTCCACTGTATATATGTATCTATATAAAGCCAGAAAATTAGTAAAAATATAAGCTTTGCATTAACGATTATCACACAGCACACGCACACAATCATATTGTGCCCTAGCTTTCTTCCACCTATCTTGCTGTTTAATTTTCGTGTTGAACACAAATTGTATTTAAGTTTTAGCCTTGGACTTACCGGACGACGTGCTTGTGACGCTCTACCCAATACTTGATAGCACTGCGAACCATCATTTCCTGTTTTTTGGTGAGTCCATTGGGATTACTGGCCAGGTTACCGTTGCCATTGGCACCGGCGTTGAAGGACTGCAGCGTGGATGGCGCTCGGAACTGTGCACCCCAATCTGCTTTAGTACTGTATATTCCTGTCATGTCCAAGTCAGTGACTGGTTCCTTCTCTACAATTTAATTTGAGCTAAACATTCGATTAGTTAACTTAGGACAAATACACACCCTCGTTGTGTATCAGCTCTGACTTGGAATTCGCGGATAGTGATCTGAACAGCGCCGCCGAGTTGGGTCTGTATGTGTCCAGCGAAGCGGAAAGTTCCATTAATGGTTTCATGATGCCTTTAAGATGCTGTAATTGTTCGCAGGCAAAAATTAACCAGGAGCAAAACATAACATCGCACAAATTAGAGTGCACCATTGAGAAAAGCACATAATAAACCTGAAGTGCAAAGCTAATCATGTAAAACATGCCATGGCTGGCATCCCACGGATAGAAAGCTTTAATTGGCAGCCTAGGTATCTCGACGGTTATACTTGAATTTGTCTCCTTATCAAGCGCCAACTTCACACTATCGCCAAAGAACGTAATCGTTGTCCAGGCCGTGGCCGAGGCGAACGTTGTTAGCATTACCAGAAAGAAGAGCTTGCGCATTTTGGCCAAAGCTATCGAGTGGTAACGAGCATCTGATTCGGCAAACAGGGGATGTGTGTTGGCCTGATTCCAAATGTTTAAAGTTCTGTCAGGACCAAAATAAAGGAAAACGTAAGCCCCCTACCAAAAAAAAAGTGTGCCTGCTCACCTGTAAAAGTTCTTTTGATTTACGGCTAGATATACGAACTTAACAATACAATGCGTAAAAAACAACGTGGTTATCGTGTTTCCGGACAACTCATTAACCTCGTCCGCATTCAACGCTAGATTAACCATGATAAATCCTATCTGCATTATAAGCACCACCATATGTACTGACGAGTAAATCCTCTTCATAAAGGTGCTGCCTCCAGTAAAGTTGTGCATAAACAGTCCAGAATATCTCATAGCCCGTATATTGGGCATTAAATCGGCAACTAAGCCCGTATACTTGCTGGGCTGCATTGTTGTAGCCATCTGCTCACAAAATAGATTTCGTCTTATGTCCTATATCCATTAAATGAAGAGAAGTTATATTAAAACTGAGCAAATGCACATGCATATTTTCAGTCCGTAAAAATGACTGCGAGTTCTTAACAACATCGCCATTTTTGACTGATTTAAAAAATAAATATTTTAAGAGATTTTTGACATTTTAAATAAAGTGTTTAAAAGTAAAAAAAAATAATTTTAATTTCTTAAAGGCGCGTTAAATAAATACCAATTAATGTGAACAATTACAATTATTTTTTTTTTTTACGGAATCGCAACTTGCCTCCTTCGAGTCTTCGATGGTAATGAAAACAGAAATCTTACAGCGTTAAAAGCTCTGCTGGGAAACCGTTTTAACACGGCTGTCATCCACTTATTGGTTAAACCTATATGAAAGCCCGATTACATTTAGTTTCTAGACATAGACGGACGTGTACTTTGAAAACAAAATTCACACGCTACGCCCACTAAAAAGATCCTTTTCAGGGGCCAAGTACATAAAGCAAGGACACGTCTGCTCTATGCTATTCAGGTAAATTGAAATCATTGGCCCGTTCTGTTTGGTCCCTGGCAGCTTGACCGTCCGTGCATGTTAATAAAAATACTTATATACGGCCTATCTACATTATATACTTATAGTGCGCCGGCTGTAGAATTCCCACAATTAAATCGAACACTACAAAGTTTAACCCCCTCCACCCCATGTACAATTGTAAACTGTGTTATTGGCTTAATTTGTTGTTAGCTCGACCATCTGTGATATCCATATTTTCAAACTATCGATTATTTACAAAGAGATTGGTACCTTATGCAACAACTCGCTTCCGCTGACTGAATTTATAGAAATATTGGTTTGATTTGATGTTGATTTAAAATATTTCAGTACCTAGGGACAGCAATTGGAATGTTATAAAAATCCTAAATTAAGGTTTTTTGCAAATTCCACCCGAAAAATTGCGAAAAGCTTCTGTATGGAACTTTTTTTTTACCATCCGATTGGTCTCGAATTTATTATACCCTGAACCCATTAAAAATGGGTATAAGGGTATATTGTATTTGTGCGAAAGTCAAATGTATGTAACAGGCAGAAGGAAGCATCTCCGACCCCATAAAGTATATATATTCTTGATCAGCATCAATAGCCGAGTCGATCTAACCATGTCCGTCTGTCTGTCCGTATGTATGAACGCAAGGATCTCAGAACCTATAAAGGCTAGAGACTTTAAATTTTAGATGTAGGTGCTCCTAGTTCCCGCGCAGATCGAGTTTGTTTCCGATAATCGATAACTTACTCCGTTTCCAAGCAATCGATATCGATATCCTGTTTTTTGGGCAATTTTGGTAAATAATAAGAGCTAGAGTCACCAAACTTGACATATAGCTTCTAAAATAGAATATAAATATGCATTTGATGTTGGAAGAAGAATATAAATATGCATTTGATGTTGGAAGAAGAGGGTTCAGGGTATCCTCTAGTCGGGAGCTCCCGACTAGAACTTCTTACTTATTTTCAATAATCTTTGCTCAAATCGAAAAGTTCATTCCGCCTACAAATATCTATACGAAAATCATTTGAGATGGTTCACACTTTTTGCAAAATCGAATCATCCTCTGTAAAAATGCGATTCAAGGATTTTTGGCGAAGTATTAAGATTTGTCCAATTTGATTCAAACGAATTTCCAAGGCCCTTCATAAGCAGTGTTCATCAAGTGGTAATGATTTTGGATATTCTTATTGGGGGAAGCGGATGGAGGAGACGGCGGCAAATAAGGAAGTGGTAGCTTTAACTAGAGAGGAGACTGCGGCTGCAACTATGGGGGAAGGTGCATTTAATATTGGAGGAGGCAGATTTCACTATGAAGGAATTGGAGGATATAGCTTTGGCGGAGGAGGCGGCATCAAACGGGTATGTCTCACACCAACATAACTATTTTAATTACGTTTGAAATTAAAGAAACAGCTGTTACAATTGTAGGTATTGTTCTTTAATAGTATTAAATAAATATAGTTTATACTTTATACTTACATACATATTTATATTATTTGAAAAATAAGCAATCAATATCAGAATCTACTTAAGCAATTCGCCCAATTTTTGGCGCTACACGCGCACTATGTGCTTGCACATTAATTTGTCTGCATGCGTAGCGATAACAAGTAAGAGGTTCTAGTCAGTAGCTCCCGACTAGGAAATACCCTGAACCCTCTTCTTCCAACATTAAATGCATATTTATATTCTATTTTAGAAGCTATATGTCAAGTTTGGTGACTAGCTCATATTATTAACAAAAATTGCACAAAAATCAGGATATCGATATATATTTTTATCGATTGCTTGGAAATGGAGTAAGTTATCGATTATCGGAAATAAACTCGATCTGCGCAGGCACTAGGAGCACATACATCTAAAATTTCAAGTCTCTAGCTCTTTTAGTTTCTGAGATCCTTGCGTTCATACATACGGACGGACGGACGGACGGACGGACGGACGGACAGACAGACGGACATGGCTAGATCGACTCGGCTATTGATGCTGATCAACAATATATATACTTTATGGGATCGGAGTTGCTTCCTTCTGCCCGTTACATACATTTGGATTTTGCACAAATACAATATACCCTTATACCCATTTTTAATGGGTTCAGGGTATAAAAACAGGATGTAGGTATCGATTTTTATCGATTGCTTGGAAACAGCAACAAACTCGATCTGCGCATGGACTAGGAGGACCTACAGCTCAAATTTCAAGTCTCTAGCTCTTATAGGTTCTGAGATCCTTGCGTTCATGCATACGGACGAACGGACGAACGGACAGACAGACGGACATGGCTAGATCGACTCGGCTATTGATGCTGATCAAGAATATATATACTTTATGGGGTCGGAGATGCTTCCTTCTGCCCGTTACATACATTTGGATTTTGCACAAATACAATATACCCTTATACCCATTTTTAATGGGTTCAGGGTATAAAAACAGGATGTAGGTATCGATTTTTATCGATTGCTTGGAAACAGCAACAAACTCGATCTGCGCATGGACTAGGAGGACCTACAGCTCAAATTTCAAGTCTCTAGCTCTTATAGGTTCTGAGATCCTTGCGTTCATGCATACGGACGGACGGACGGACGGACAGATAGACGGACATGGCTAGATCGACTCGGCTATTGATGCTGATCAAGAATATATATACTTTATGGGGTCGGAGATGCTTCCTTCTGCCTGTTACATACATTTGGATTTTGCACACATACAATATACCCTTGTACCCATTTTTAATGGGTTCAGGGTATAACAAGTAAGAGGTTCTAGTCGGGAGCTCCCGAATAGGGGATACCCTGAACCCTCTTCTTCGAACATCAAATGCATATATATATTCTATCTTAGAAGCTATATGTCAAGTTTGGTGACACTAGCTCTTATTATTTACCCAATTTGCTAAAAAAAAAACAGGATATCGATATCGATTTTTATCGATTGCTTGGAAACGGAGTAAGTTATCGATTATCGGAAACAAACTCGATCTGCACGGGAGCTAGGAGCACCTACATCTAAAATTTCAAGTCTCTAGCTCTTATAGTTTCTGAGATCCTTGCGTTCATACATACGGACGGACGGACGGACGGACAGACAGACGGACACGGCTATTGATGCTGATCAAGAATATATATACTTTATGGGGTCGGAGATGTTTTCTTCAGCCTGTTACATACATTTGCATTTTGCATAAATAGAACATACCTTTTATACCCATTTTCAAAGGGGTCAGGGTATAACAAACCAATTGCAAATACATATATTTTAGAGATGCCAAAAAAATGTTGACATTGTTATAGGAAATGTAGGTGTGGAGGAAATACATTCAAAAGTTTAGCATTAGATTTATATGCCATTTGTTATTGATGTTGTTGTTGCTGCTACTCTGCCCAGCATAAGTCGTCGCTGTGCATATGTGTGTCTGCTATGTGGGGGTGTAACCAGGTCAATACTTTTACCAAACACTTGTCTATATTAAAGAAGAAATGGTCCTGGTCTGGTATCCCAGCAGATATATTGTCTCTGTGTCTGTCGTCTGCTTACATGGGTACGTGTGTGTTATTGTATGTTTCTTGCCTGCCACAAAATTGTCAACGCGCAAACTAAACGAGTTTTGCCTGAGGTTGCCTAAATAAGTAGATTATGGCTATTGTAGAGAAAAGTTATGGTTGTTGTTACCAGTTTCAGTTTCTAAGTTGTTCTGATGATTAGTGCGCATGTCAGCAAATGGCAAAATGAGAAAAAGGCAATGTTGACGAGGAGAGATATTAACACCGTAGGGAGAAGAGAGAGAAAGAGAGACAGAGAGAGAGTGTGAGGAATTGACAGAGTGAAAGATATAAGAGTACTTCACAAGGGAACATGAATGGTGCCAGATGGTTATACGTTATATAAGTCTAGCGCAATCGCAGTACAACAACCACTTACAACTTGGTAAAATATACTTATATTTTAAATAGTTATTATTTTTATTATTTCTCTAATATAGGCGTTTATTCCGTTTTCAAATTACCTCAGTCTGCCTCTTTTAAAACTTTTTTAATCTGGTCTTACAGGCAAACTATCAACATCAACTTATTAAACAGGCAACTATTTTGTTTCGAAATTTGATTTAAGAACTATGATAAAAATCTAGCTATATTCTATATATGCCACTGTGAACTATCTGGCAACTTCCGTAGGCACTAAGCTGCGTAACGCAAAACCAAAAATAAAACACAACATATGCAACAAGGGTCAGACTCTCGCATTCCTGCTCTCTTTATCAGAATCTCTCTATCTCTTCTTCTTGATTTCCCCAACGAGAACAGAGCTGCAGCAATAACAACAAGAACGAGCAGCAGCGACTGTTATAAGATCTCTGTATTTTAAATCACTTCGATTCGAAGCCAGTCAAAAATGGTCCATCGGCGCGACATGAACCGTCAGCAGCATTCGCAGCCGCAGCCTTGTTAGCCTCAGTAACCGAACTCGCAAAACGTGTGCGTATGTGTAAGTGTGTTCTGTTCATATATATATATATATATATATATACGTTGCCAGCAAAATCAGACCAAATGTGAAGTGGCAAGTCCTACGGCAAAGTAAGGGCCCAACATGTTCTTGTCGCTGGTGCTGCCCATGGCTAGTGTTGAAAGCGCACAAGAAAAAAGTTGTTGTACAAATATTAAGTCTTGCTACTAAAAATATTCATAAAAAAAATCATTTCTTATTATGAATATACTCGCACAATATCATACCATAGAAGGAAATACAATGTCCTAAAAACTAGCATTTGAAAAAATTAGCCAATAAATCCTAGTAGAAGCTTTTGTTTCTGTAAGTGTTTGTGTGCCTGTATGTGTGTGTGTGGAAATTAAGTCTGTGTAGGTGTGTTTGTGCACGGATTTATGCAGCGTTAGTTACATAAGGTATCATCATTATCAGCAGCTATAAATTCAACTCCTTTAGTTTCAATGATGCCAACTGTCGCGCGTAAAGCACGATTATTTGCCCTTGGACTGTTCATGTAACATCGGGGACGTTACACCAGCATCGGAAGCAATGAAAATAGCGTTAGTGAAATACACCAACAACAATGGCAATAGCAATTGTTACCCCAGGCTAAAATCTTTCGATATAACGCCTATGCACCGAAGATATTCCCTCAAATGTCCCTGATACTTGATGTATAGCTGTTGATTTTATTGCGATGTATAAAGCACATTAAACTAATTTTTTTGCCTAAAATATAGAATAGATAGATTGGGCCCTGTTAAGAATTTGAATCCAGATAAAAACTACCCTAATCAGTATGCCATCTTAAATACTGTTCAGACACGGCATGCGCAGCAAAGAAATCGAAATCCAAACCGGAAGAGAAAAACAAATAGAAATTTTATTTGAAGTAAACATGTATTTATTACCAAATTGTTGTTTTTTTTTGTGCGACAGCAAAAATGGCTGCTTAGACACACCATCTTGTTTTTAGACCCGTATTCGCGGCGGTTTTTGGATGTCGGCGCATTGTATAATCCTACAGACCGCAAACAAAATGGTCGCCTTTGAAAGATACTCGTGTGGCAGCAACAATAACAAAACCAACGCATGAAAGCTTTGACCCTTTAGACAATTACCGTACCTTTCCTACCAGGTGGCAGCAGCTTTGTTGTCACGTTTTCAGTTATTCAAGCATGGATATTTTGCTGTTGTCAAAATAAAAAGAGCGCCACCAGAAGAAGAAGCAATAATCCCTAATAAGCAACATACCGACAAGACAAGTACACAACATAAATATATATCTGTTTAATAAACGACAACAAAACAACAAACAATGAAATGCATAATTATGATGGATTACCTGTTTTATTGCAATTTGTGTGCAAATCGGAAACAACAGTCATAATAACAAAAGGAACATCTGCAATTTTGTGGAACTTTAAATGCAAGTTACAATTGCATTAACATAAAAGGTTGGTTAATGTCGATCAAATTTTTAAAATTGTTTTTTTTTCATACTTGTACCTATTGTGTAGACTAAGATGATTATGTTTTTTGAATTAATTACTGAATGCAACGCATTTGATACTTTCCCTACAGCATATGCATAAGGGAAAGCCATGTAACTATTATTAAACTAAACAAATATTCGATATTTTTATACCCTGAACACATTAAAAATGGGTATATGGGTATATGTATGTGCAAAATCCAAATGTATGTAACAGACAGAAGGAAGCATCTCCGACCCCATAAAGTGTATATCTTCTTGATCAGCACCAATAGCCGCATCGATCTAGCCATGTCCGTCTGTCCGTCCGTCCGCCCGTCCGTATGTATGAACGCAAGGATCTCAGAACCTATAAGAGCTAGAGACTTGAAATTTTAGATGTAGGTGCTCATAGTGCCTGCGCAGATCGAGTGTGTTTCCGATAATCGATAACTTACTCCGTTTCTAAAAAATCGATAAACATCGATATCGATATCCTGTTTTTTGGCCAATTTTGGTAAATAATAAGAGCTAGAGTCACCAAACTTGGCATATAGCTTCTAAAATAGAATATATATATGCATTTGATGTTGGAAGAAGAGTGTTCAGGGTATCCCCTAGTCGGGAGCTCCCGACTAGAACCTCTTACTTAAAAGTCTCTAGCTCTTATAGGTTCTGAGATCTTTGCGTTCATACATACGGACGGACGGACGGACGGACAGACAGACAGACGGACATGGCTAGATCGACTCGGCTATTGATGCTGATCAAGAATATATATACTTTATGGGGCCGGAGATGCTTCCTTCTGACTGTTACACACATTAGGATTTTGCACAAATACAATATACCCTTATTCCCATTTCTAATGGGTTCAGGGTATAAAAACTCTCATTAATTAATAAATATTAATAGTTCTCTTTCCCAATGATTATATCTTTTATTATATTATTAGACTGTTGCAATCCAAACCTCTTACACACTGCATGATGCCACTTTATATATACGAGTAAACATCCCGGCACAATTTCATCTCTTGGGACAAACTAATAAAAGAAGTCTTGCAACTCAATTCCCATTAAAGCCACGCGTATACACACACCTTAACGAGCTCAAGCCCAAGTCAATATTAACAATTCCAAATGGCGAATACCCAATTTATACGAATTTAAAAGCCTTAGGCTCAGTTCTGACTCTCGTTTATAGGTATTTAAATCTAATCACTGTTTTTCCTTTTTGCATTATTATTTGCAGTGAAAGGTGCCCAGAAAAGTATGCAATGCAAAATATATTAGCTTCATAAATGGCTGACTTCGCTGACTTATAATGGCTGACTAAAAATAAAGTTTGATGCTGCTTGACCAACCAGCCAACCGTCAGGATTTTATAAAAACCAGTTGTTTACTAGTAAACTTTAATACTATTTTACTTATACATATATTTATTTAATTAACTTGCTAGTCGCTTAGTTGGGGACCAATATAAAAATAATTTGCATCCATTTTATTAGCTGTACTGGCTCTTAAAATATGGGCCTGAGCATTTCCCCTTACTTAAATTATTAACAAAATATACATTTTTAAAATTAATTTCAAATGCTTTATCGAAAACCAAAATTGAATGGAGACCCAATATTGTTATTCTCCAGCGCACTGTAATGAGTGAATGTGCTCAGCTGCTGCCATTAGGCATGCATCAGCACGCGGCAATTTTGCGGATCTGATATGTGGTATTTGAGGGATTTGGTTTCGGGTCCCAAGACTCTGCTCAGCCAGGCGCAAGCACAAAGACATAGGAACGAAGCGTGTGGGCGGCAGTCGTGTTACAAGGATGCTATTTTTAGATAAATACGCACTCACCCACATGAAGAGAGGTCGGTAAAATCGCTTCGGGGCTGAAAATAGTTAAGTCGCCATTTGTGTGTATGAGTGTATCTTGTATACGTACATATGTGGATCTGTACGTGGAGAGTGTATGCTCCATTCCATATTATTGCAGCGTGAATAAGCATGCTACTTTGCCTTGCTTTGGCTGACCTCCATTCTCCATAGATGTGAACACTTCTAATTAACCCTTTTAGCAATATGCTTTGCCAATTATACTTGTGCTCTATGGTTCCCCAGTTTGCGTACGGATTAACTATACTGAACTCTTCATTGTGATATTTGTCACTTTTGTGATTGTTCATTCGTTTCAATCGAATGAAATTGGCGCTGTCAAATCGAAGTTGTTTTATTAACATTTTTTAACATAGCGAAATACATAGTATATTACAACTGAACTTATATTAAACCAAATTGTAATCCAGAGATAGCCCTTTCCTTATCAAAGTGAACCAGCTTCATTTAATTTAAATTGGTTTTAAATACAAAAGCTATTGATTTTCTGCTTGATAAGCTTTAGCCCCTCTCTCGTTAGTAAGCTAAAAAGTTACTCGGTTTAGTGTGGCTGGAACAATTATGCCATAGGGAATTGATTTGAAGAACAAAGGATATACACTCCCACACTTACACCTACATTAATATTCTTACAAACACATAAAAATGATAAATGCATGCCAAATATAGTTAAGGTGCAGTCAATTAACGGATAACGCATTGCTCTACCAGATGCTCTGACTACTGTTTCTGTCGCTTTTGTTCGTGGTGGCGTTTTTTCTTGACATGACGACGCGAATCCGATTTCTGCACTTCTTCCACATCCTCCTCTTGATTTCGATCTTTACCCCGCTGCTGTGGCATTATGCGTTTATTATGCGCCATCTCCAAATTAATGTCCACCCAATCATAGAGATAGTCATAGAGCAGAAAATGATTTCGGAACAACACCTTAAATAGCTGCCGCAAATAAACGTAATCCGGCTGCTCGGTAAAGTGTAGGCTGCGACAGTACTTCATATACAAATAGAATTCGGTAGGCACTCCCGAACATAATATATTTAATGGCAGCGTTGACTTGCTCTCGGCAATTCTCTCGTACTTTTGTATTCGTGTCGCGGCATTGATGCCCTGCCAAGGAAGGCGACCACGCAAAAAGTAGAGCAGCAGATAGCCCACGGACTCCAAGTCATCACGACGTCCCTGCTCCGCATAATGGGCATGTACAGAAGCGTATCGAGCAGTACCTATGAGCTCATGACGCTCATAGTAGTTGATATGTGTACGGGTGCTGGGACGATAGTATTTTTTGGCCAAACCAAAGTCAATCATGAAAACGCGAGTTCGCTGACTGCCTAAACCCATTAGAAAGTTTTCTGGCTTGATATCTCGATGCAACAGACAGTTCATATGCAGGTACTCCACACGGGCCAGTATTTGATCCGCCAGCATCAGTGTAGTCTTTAAGCTAAAGTTTCGCGCACAAAAGTTTAGCAGATCTTCTAAGGTGGGACCCAATAAATCTAGAACCAGCACATTATATATGCCCTCGGTGCCGAAATAACGAATATGCGGAAAGCCAACGCCACCTCGAAGTATATTGTATATTTTTGCTTCGCGCGGCAGCTGTGGGTACTTGACGGAACTGCTCTCTAGTTTAACAGCCACCTCCTCGCCGCACTGAAGACCAGAGGCACGGTATAGCTCTCCAAAGGATCCACTGCCTATTGGACTCAACAGACGATACTTGCCACCAACAATAATGTCCCGTAGACCGCTTCGTTTAGTGGACCCCAATGGCTTAATGGGTTTCACCTGTGGTCGTAGCTGCTGACATTGAACGTGTAGGTATCGATTTTGATGTCCAAGTTGCCAACATTGATTTTCATTCGGATATCTTACTTGTGCCATCCTCTCGTGCTCGGATCGGTGTTCGGTGAAGGTTAAAGAAAGTTTAAAGTGTCGCTAGGCATGACTAGCATGACTTGTGTGGGAATATATTCTGTCAATATTACAAAAAAGTAATACAATGCAATAAAACCATAAAGTCAAGGATATACTGTGAGTACATTTTGTGCGAAGGTAAAATAATCAAAATGTCGGTAAGAATAGGAAAACAAGTGCGCATTGCACTTTTTTAAACACCTTTAAAAAACTCGTAGTCCACGCTAACACGGCAACAATTATGGTTGTAGATATGTATCTATGCATCTATTTACAAACAAGAATTTATAAAAACTACATTAGCCGCATCTACATAAACTTATCAGCTCTGTTTATATATCCATATGTGGGTGATTGGACAAGCACTTGCCATTGTGAACTCTCATAAACTATTTACGACGCAATAATTCTACGCTGTATCTATTAAAAACTTATAGAAAAGAAAACGATTGAAGTTTTGCGGCGCTGGGATATTTTGCAAATTGACCAAGGCAGGCGGGAGATTTTTATTAACAATCATAAACAACAAAAAAAAACCCTAATGATGCCAAATTATCTGTAAGAACTTTCCTCACCTCTTTATGTACAAACAGCTTCCAAAATCATGATAAATTTAAAATTGCTTCCAAAACTAATCTACACATATTTTCCTATTTTTTTTTAAAAAACAATTATGTAATTATACATATTAAATTTGTGGACCGACAATTATTTCCTGTCTCTATAATTGGATTAGACCCTTTTCATAAATAAGTAGTAATTCAAAGCCATTCTGACCTGCGAATTCTTCAATAACTGTTAAAACTGTTTATTATTTTTTATACCCTGAACCCATTAAAAATGGGTATAAGGGTATATTGTATTTGTGCGAAAGCAAAATGAGTGTAACAGGCAGAAGGAAAGTATATATATTCTTGATCAGCATCAATAGCCGAGTCGATCTAGCCATGTCCGTCTGTCTGTCCGTCCGTCCGTCCGTCCGTATGTATGAACGCAAGGATCTTAGAACCTATAAGATCTAGAGACTTGAAATTAGATGTAGATGCTCCTAGTTCCCGCGCAGATCGAGTTTGTTTCCGATAATCGATAACTTACTCCGTTTCCAATCAGTCGCTAAAAATCGATATCGATATCCTATTTTTTGGGCAATTTTGGTAAATAATAAGAGCTAGTGTCACCAAACTTGACATATAGCTTCTAAAATAGAATATATATATGCATTTGATGTTGGAAGAAGAGGGTTCAGGGTATCCCCTAGTCGGAAGCTCCCGACTAGAACCTCTTACTTGTTTAAAGTATATTTATTCACTTCTCAAAACTAACGCATACAGAACAAAATTATAATTCTAATTTTCTTATTTAAATTAATAATAGATAAATACATATATTTTTCGGAAAGGTTTTGGAAAAAAACTCAAGCTATGCATTCTCTATGCATCGAACTATAGAATCGGTAATTGAACTTTACAAAAAATAAGGCATCAATCAAACTGGCGTCGTTAAAGGGAAATAACGACCATACTTGCAATTACAATAATTATATAATGTGGAGTAGTACAATATCACCAACAAATTCTAAGAAGCTATTGATCGGTAGTATACGAAGCGTTGATTATGTCGGTGATAGTGCGAAAACAGCAGCAGCCAATAATAAGACAGCAGCAACAGGAGCAGCTACAAAGGGATCAGCGACAAAATCACAACAAAAACCAACAACAACAACCACCATTCCAGCGAATACAACAAAAATCTCAATTGAAATGGAGATACATATACAAAATAAGTGCATTTCGGCATAGCGTATCACTCTGGAGGGTGGTGCAGAGCCGCCATGGCTGCAGGGCCCCCTTAAAGCAGCATTTTTGGGGGCTACTGGCGTCGGCAAAACAAGCATATTACAGGTAAGTGCTATCTTCACATATAATATTTTTATAATGTAATGCACATATAAAGAGACTACACATAAAGTTAAATTTAAAGCTTGTTATAACCTGGTTAATTCATAAAATATATTATATATAAATTTATTTTTTATATAAATATCCAACATTTACGCTTGGGTACTGTGAAATATGACGTCCGATGAAACACTAAAGGTTTAACAACAGGTTAAACTCTTAATGGAATCGTCCTCCATTCGGCGTCATTCTCTACTAATGGCATTTGAATGCATGTGGAAGCAGCGCTAATTTGATTTTCGCTTCACCGATGCATCACTGCATTTACGCTGCATTTTACGTCTTTGTGAATTAAAAGTTGTAATTAGACATGGGTGAACCGCAAATAAGTGTTCTCGCGCTTGCAGAATGAACCTTTTCTGAACATATTTAAATGTATTTTATGGAATGGAATGTAGTCGAGTGGTGTTTATTAGAACGCTTTTATATACGCTTAAAGCATTTTCAAAGGTTATTTGTATATACTTGAAGCTAGCACGAAGTACAGATACTATTATCAACCGGTCTTGTAAACATAACAAGTAAGAGGTTCTAGTCGGGAGCTCCCAGCTGGGGGATACCCTGAACCCTCTTTTTCCAATATCAAATGCATATATATATTCTATTTTAGAAGCTATATGTCAAGTTTGGTTACTCTAGCTCTTATTATTTACCAAAATCGCCCAAAAAACAGGATGTCGATATCTTTTTTTATCGATTGCTTGGAAACGGAGTATGTTATCGATTATCGGAAACAAACTCGATCTGCGCAGGCACTAGGAGCACCTACATCTAAAATTTCAAGTCTCTAGCTCTTATAGGTTCTGAGATCCTTGCGTTCATACATAGGGACGGACGGATGGACGGACAGACAGACGGACATGGCTAGATCGACTCGGCTATTGATGCTGATCAAGAATATATATACTTTATGGGGTCGGAGATGCTTTCTTCTGCCTGTTACATACATTTGCATTTTGCACAAATACAATATACCCTTACACCCATTTTTAATGAGTTCAGGGTATAAAAAGAAATAATAAATGCTTCGTCTGCATTTGATCGGACTATTAAATCACGTATATTTAATATTTCAAATTTATTTATTGAATATAATTTCTTTACAGCAATTTTTTTACCATGACTTCCCAAAGACTCATCAGACGACAACTCATCGCAAAATTTATAAAAACTGTTTGGTGTGCGATACCTGCATACGGGAGCTGATGGTACTGGATGTTCCTCCCCAGGTGAGTGCAAATTCAAAGCTTAACAACATCTCGACCTGTACACTTACCTTATAAATAACTAGCAAAGTATTGCCCGGCCTTGTCCGTGCAAAGTTTTGTGCTAAAAATATTAGCTTTCCACTAAGTATATTGAAAAATTTTTTCATTTCATTTGAAAAATTTGTTCGAATAAAGAAACGAGTGTTAGAAACAACGGTTTCCGCCCATGTTAGTCTTGCGGTGAGAATCTTGAAGCTGAAAAACAAACTTTCGTTTATAAACCTATCAAATAAATTCTCACAAAGATCTGTGAAAAAAAATGTTGAGGCCGATCTAAGCAAACAACTTTCAACCGAAACACACAGCTCTTACGGCTATGCGTTAGTCAGCAATCGATCAGCCTGTCAGTCAATTAGGACAATTAGGATAGTGTTATATATAGAAATTATGACTTACTTATAATGACGGATAAAAGTATATTGGTGTAACGGGTATAATATGCTGATACATACAGTCAGTCCTCATATACAAATAATTTCATTTGCATTTCTTTGCAAAAGTACAAAAAGACGAATCTGACAGGCAATTGCTATAGAATTGACCAACTTTATTATATTATATACTTCATGTCCCCCACTTACGCCTCAAACATACCAATAGTTTTTCTTGGCTTTCAATTCATTTATGTCCACCTTGGCGTGAACTCATTTGTGTACCGTGTACCAACAGAGTGTTAAAGAATGTATGTAATAGGCGCTCTTGTCTTTTTTGACTCGATGAAGTGTTTATATTCTTAATAAATGTCAACAGCAAGGTGTTGCCATATCCCTATGCCTTTTTATATGGAAACCAGTCCTTTAGCTCAATGCTGCATTGACGTAACTTTTTAGATCCGTCTTAATGTTTCAGACCGTGCGAATGGCAAAGCCAGCAAGAGTATTAAACATTCGATACACTAAAGATAGCCTTCCCTTTTAGTTGATTATTTATTTTTCTATACAAGTTTTTTGTTTTTTTTTTTGTTTTGCTAAGCATTTCTTATTCCATCGTGTTGGCCAAATAGTTTCCTGTCAGGTACCCTAGTTAGAGATCTGGTGGCCTGTGAATAAACGTTAGAAATATGGTAAATTTTTCATTGTCAACTAAAATGCTGGTCAGTTATTATTCAAAGACCACTCTAATGGCTTCCAATTGTGTGAACAGCGTGTTGTTCTCCAACAGATTTTACTTTTCACATCCTTATACCACCACACCCTAAATTAACAATTGTATACTCCACAATAAAAATTTATGGGAAGCACACGCGGCTCGTAGCTTTCGTGCCCTTTTATTTTATATTTAGCCAATATTGGGCTAAACACCGACAGGAACATTACTCAACAGGCAGAAGGAGAAGAGAAATGTAAAATACCAATGTCATTGGCTGAATATTCAAATTAAGTAAAAAGAATCACAAAGTAAATAGACAAATTTGCATGTCTTATTAACAAATTGTAACGAAAATCGGAAAGGCTTTATTTTTGTATGACTGAATAAATATTTGTATGTGTATGCATGTATGTATGTATGTACGTAATTATGTATTTACGTGTGCATACATGTATATATAAATATATAGATGAATTTCATTTGCAGTCATAAAAGTATGCATATACGTAAATGTGTTTGTGGATGTATGCCTGTATGTATGTATAACATGTATGGATATACACATGTATGCAAGTATCTATGTATCTATGTTTGTATTATTGTCTGTTAGTATACAAGTATTTTGTACGAAGAGATTTAAGTAATATATATATGTTTGTGTTTGTGTGTGTTTACGTTTGTGTGTGTTTGGGCGTGTGTGTGTTAATGTATGCATTCATGTATGTTTTCTAATACCAAACGTAGACTAAGCTTATTTGTCGCTGTGCTGCAAGTTTAAATAAAACGAATCTCTGTGAAGTTCTCTCCTCATCGATTCTCAAGAATCCAAGTAGGCTCTGAAGTTTTTCATGCTAAGCTAGTAGTGTAGCGCTTTTCTTTTGGTGTTTTTTTTTTTTTTGTTTTTATTGATGCTTTTTTGTTGTGTTTTTTTTTTGTTGATTGAACCCATTTAAAATGGGTATTTGTGCGGACGGACAGACAGACGAACATGGCTAGATCGACTATATGGGGTCGGAGATGCTTCCTTCTGCCTGTTACAAACATTTGCATTTTGCACAAATACAATGTACCCTTTTTACCCATTTTCAATGAGTTCAGGGTATAAAAATGCATATATGTATGTAAACTTAAAACTTCGCCCAAGAAATCTTTAAATCGCATTTCTACCCATAAAGCTTGGATTCTGCGAACGTGTTTTAAATGATTTATCAAATAGATCTTTGGCAATAAATTTGAACACGAAACGTCACCCACCAAATCTTTGACCCCCATTCCCACCAAAGAGCAATGCATTTTTTGTGAAGTGTGAAAATGAGTTTGAGGCCGATCGGATGGTAAACAAAAAAGTTTCATACAAATGTGTTTCGCGATTTTTCCACATATGCGTGTGGAATTTCCCGAGACCCCGTCCTAACGAGCGCCTTCATTACATACGGTAACTACAATGATAATTGACCCGGGAAAGTAACAACTTAACAACTTACTATTATACGTTTCCACTGTCATTTTTATTGTATACTTAAGAGAGTCCTAAGGGTCACTACCTACGTATTGTAATAATATAAACTCTGACAAATAAAATATATACAAACGTTTCTTCATGTTTTGTGACCTTCCCAGAAGAGATTTCCGGCTGATAACTTTGCTGAATGGAATAATGGACATCCGCTGGGGCTGCGAACGGTGCAGGCCTATGTTCTAGTTTATGATATGGGCAACTTGGAAACGTTTCAGGTAGGCCAACCAAATAATTTTGACTCCTGCCTAGTTAAGAGATTTGTGGGAATTGTTCGCAGTATTGCCGCTCCATAAGAGATCAAATTTTGGATAGTTTCAGTCATCGTGATTTTACCATAATTGTGGTGGGCAATAAATATGACAATGTTTCTGAGGCGCAGGTTAACTCGCAGGTATGTGAAGGCCTATCAAACATATAATTGATCTTTAATTTGTGTTATATAAATAGATGTGGTTAAAAATAAATGTGAACTCTTGGTATTGTTTAATGCTTACATAAATTGTTAAATACTTTTGTTAAATACTTAGTATATAAATACTTTTAGCCGTTCAAACTCTTTAATGTTATGCCTTTTAGGAGCTCAAGGACATTTCTACGCTGGTGCGTAAGCATTGGCGTTGTGGATATGTAGAGTGTTCGGCACAGTAAGTAGCTCTTACAAAAACCTTTGTAAATTCAGGTATTGCCCATGCAGGACATATTTGCTGATTCCAGATACAACTACAAAATCGGCGATGTTTTTCGCGAGCTAATGGGCTGCAGAAGTGGCGTCAGCGGCACAACTGTCGGCGTTCTTGTTGGCACTGAGTACTCACAATCAACTAGAAATAAAGGACGCTGTACAATACTCTAGCAAATGCTGAATAAGTTATTAAAACAAGCATTTTATTCTAGCGAATAATACCCAAGCGAGTGTTCCAGTTGAGCTGGGACGTGCCGATGATTCCGCATTCTCTTTAGCATAGTAACTGAGAGCTAACTACGTCAACAATAATGTCCCTTTCAAACGCTTACTGATGCATCTTTTAGCACACGCTTATATATGTATGTAATTATATATACAATATAATTTGTTGCCGACACACTTTGCAGGTTAGCTCATGCCCTCAATCTTTGCCTTACCTTATCCTTGTTGGCCATTGTCTCCTTACTTTTGTTTGCCATAATTTTAACATTATGCTCGCTGCTTTATTAAATCCAACATTCATTCCATCCTTGCTTATTGCGAGTCCGAGCTGCATCGCTAGCAACGTTTGATACATTCACAATTGCAATGCTAAGTCTTAAAGTTGTATGTCGGAAACTATAGGAACATTTACAAGAACAAAAATTCAAAACGTTACAATTGTTAAAAAGCTGCTAATGGAAAGCTTGAAATATATTATATTATTTTTTGTACGTAATAGGCAATTAATCCCACCATAATTTACAATACATTTTACGAATAAATATTGTTAACACAACGGGAGCGATAAAATAAAAATCCATCAGTATAAATTGTATACTTTATATAGGCAAAATAGTGTATATATACATATATATAAAACTTCATTAACGTTGTGATCATTTCAAGAATTAGTTATTAGGCACAAGATGATAAATATGTCAGTTAAAGTCAAGTAAAAAGAATCCCTTTAAAGGTTACCAAATAAATAAATGATACACCCTTTTAAATTTGGAAAAATACGTATTTAAATATTAATAAGAAATGCTAATGCAATTGAAATTGTTTTATTGCAGCAATTTATTAAATACTGCCGAAAGCCTCAACATTATAACAAACAGTTAAATAGTTTCTCAGCCCTTATATTTATTGTATTCATTTATAAAAATGATACAATAAAATTAAGTATTATTAAACAAAATTAAATGATAAGAAAAAAACAAGAATTGTTGCCTTAAAACAATTTCTTTTCATTAATCTTTAATTTTTAGCGCTACATTGTATTTAACTCAAACTGGAGCCAAAATACTACAAATAATTAAAGCATCAAGCCTTAACTAATGCAACCCAAAAAAAAAGTATTCCTTTATAGACCGATTTGTTCTAAAATTAGCGTTGCAATTTTATAAAGCGCACAAGAAAACAATTGCTTTATTGTTAATTTAAGAGCAAATACACATTTGATGAACTCATATTTATTTTCAAATATATGTATATTTTTTAGGGCTAGAAGAATATTGCCTAGCTCACTAGGTAGGTAACTGTTAAGTTTCCACAATAAAATTGCTGACCTAAAAATAACAATTAATATTTTCACAACAAATCTACGTAGCTCTATACCGAACTCTTTCTTTACCTCAACAAAACTCGAAAGATAAGCAATCAAGTCTGACTTTGTACATAGAACTTTCAAAACTGTCGTAACTGCAATATATAAAAAGCAAACACATTACATAACTAAATTTAATCAATGTTTACAGCAATATATTTGAACTGTGAACAAACACCAAAACTAGTGAGTCTTTATAGTGATTTATGCTGAAGACAATTGAGCGCACTGCCAATCGGGTCGGTCAATGAAATCAACTCAAGTTCAGTGCTCAATTAAGATGAAGCCTATCAACACGTACATTTTTGAATTTAGCGAAGGGTAAAATTCATAGGCAATAATAATGTTTAAATTAAAGCGACACAAATATTAAAAAAAAAAAAAGTAGTTGAAATTATATTTAAACTTAAAACTGTAGCATTGATGCTTTGATAAAAAATATATATGTAAAATTACCCGAAAAATTTATAATAGTTATAAAAATGTGCAGCCAAATACATTGACTTGTTGAAATGTGTTCATTAAATATCAAAATTCATAAAATTAACTTCGGCCAAACTGAAAATCCTATATAAATTGCTCATTAATGTACACAAAAAGCCGGACTACGCGGACATCAAACTATTTGTATAAAATATACGTACTGTACTTTATAATAAATAATGTACATATATTTAGTTAGTTTTCTTTCATGATTTCGAAAGATTACGGATTCGTCAAAATGGCTGTTAATTTTTGAATATAAAATATGCTAAAACTGATTCACAATGAGAAACCAACTATTATATACACTAATACAAAACAAATTGCGGTTGAATTAAATTTAAGGAACGCGTTGCCTGCTACAGTAAAACGTAAAACTTGTAGTTATGTACTTAAAAATTAACATATAAATAAAACATCAATGACTCAAATGCAATATGATTCAACCGCGTTTTGTTTGTTTAGTGTGTTCAAAAAAAGTTTAAATGAAGTGGTAACAATTAGTGTAAAGGCACTTATACACGAGTACACATGTCCTCTAGTAGGACACTAATGATCTCTTTTTTAATGCAATGAAAATCACATAAATAAAATAATTAAAATTAATAGATCAAACTGTTAATTCAAAAGAGCTAACCACACAAAAAGAAAAAAACACCGCAAATAACTATTAAGCAATGAAGAAGAAGCCTCAACCTAATAATCATATAGTACTAGTACTTATATATGTGCTTATATTATGCCATGTGTATGTATTGTGTTTTTGCAATATGCGTTAACCCGCAAGTATATAACGACTAGTCCGTTAGAAATGTAGAAAACGTTTTTGGAAAGCTGCAAACTGAAATAAAAAAATAATAGAATAAAGTTATATAAGTATTTTGAAAATTTTTTGGGTATTTTGTGATGGGAAGTTATATAAATATACTCCTTTCAAGTACACAAAAACTTAAGTGTAAATAACTTTTGAACAACAATCGCAAATGGAAATCACATCTTATACCATTTTAGATCCTCAGTATTAACTAAAAAACGTTAAGCATTCGGAAAGGGATTACAACAACCGTAACCCAAATATTAAACTTGGATATTTTTACTCAAAATTATAGTTGTGACAAGGTCGGTTGAATTAAAGACAATAAATAAATAACATTATTAAAGCTGAAGCGAACACAAAGTATATATATATAGTTTTTTTTTTATTTAAATTAGTTGTTATTAAACAAACAATAAGTAGATCTTATTTTGTGAAAAGTACAAATAATCATTTGATATAAACCAATAAATTAGTTTTGGGAAAAGTTTACAAATTATTAAGAGTTTATATCCCAGTTACATGTCATTACATACACATGTATCTCTTCTATTTTGAAATCTTTTAATCAAAAACGGACTCCTTAAATATCTCTTATAATATACATAAAGAAAATGAATAACTTAACATTAGCTGTCTATTAAGATGGCTTATCAGGGTCAGACCAGAAAAAGTAATAGGCTACGTGCCCAGATTAATAATTGCTGTTACTTTAGTCAAACAGAATCATAACTTAAAGCAAATGTGACTTATTTTAACTTAAGGTCTACGTGCACCAACTTCGTCCGGCTATATTCTCTATCACTGATGCTGTTCGCTGGTGCTGCTGAAAGTGCGGCTACGACTCAACCGATGCGTGGCCGCCGCAATTGCTGCCTGGTCGCTATGCCCATCCACCAGTTTTTCGGGAAGCTTCAGAATTTCGTGCAGCTGCTGTTTCAACTGTTTTGTTTGCGGTCGCTGCGTTGGCTGCGAGGAGAGCATCCTTTGCAACAGCTCATACTGCTCCGGATTTTGTTTGACAAAAGCCTCTGGATACTGGCCATCTCTCAAGCCACGAAGTGTCTTTATGCGCTCCATTTCAGTGGAAAAATAAACATGTAGCTCGAAAAATATTAGGCCTAGCGAATATATGTCCACCTTATAGTCATAGTTTTGGCCTCTCAGCTGCTCTGGTGACATGTATAGGTGTGTACCCACCAGTTGTGTATGGCGGGCGCACGAGGGTAACCCGGATTGGTCACCACAATCGTTTAATATGTTGGGTATATCCGCCATGTCGGTAACAAGCCCAAAGTCACCAATTTTGATCTGTCCATCCTGCGAAAAGAATATGTTGCTGGGCTTCAGATCCCGATGAATGAGACCCTTAAGATGGACGTAGTCCACCGCGTCTACAATCTGATGAAAGATATGGGCGATGTGCGAGGCACGCGCTTCGGTCCGATTGTCTCGCAGCCAATCACGCAAACTCTCCTTGCGGCACAGTTGCATTTGAATGTATAGGTAAACCTTGTTGGGCTTGACTATGAGTCCGTTCTGTACAGTAGCATTCGGCAGCGCTACCTGGCTGCTATTGGGTGACTTTGGTTGTAACTGCTGATTGTGATTCTGGGACAGTGCCAAAGTCAGCGGTTTGTGCCTGGATACTTCAATGTCTTCGTCTGTGTCGCTGATATTGCCCTTGGAGCGAATTGATTCGATTTGAAATGAATTTGATAGCTGATGTTGCGTGTAATTGATATTCTTTAAATCAAAAGATGCAGAGTGTACATCAATAGAAACAGAGCTCCGTTGCGCACGACACTGGGTTTCATATTTTATTTGCCCTTGGTACTGCTCCTCAACGTCTTCCACGTCTGCAAGCAAGGCAGCCGACTGTGATTCACTGCGAAACTCAATAAGGGAATCATCTTCCTCATAGTCGTTGTATTCCTTAATCTGTTTAAAAGGTTTCTCGGTATGTCCCAACTCATAGCTACAGGCAGTGCTATTAGCGGGGTCTGATACCCACGAGATCAGCTGGCGATGTTTATCTTCCGTGTGATTTATAAATGATGGCAAGGTACTGCCATCGGGTGTCTCGATTTGTATAGATGTAGACAGTTCATGTGCTAAAAGCTTACGATCCTCCTCTTCCTGCCAGCCTACAGGCGGAGTTTCTACCCAGGACTGTATATTATTCAAAAATAAAAACAAAGAGTTTTATAAATTACGTTATTTAGATAATGTAACCAAACTGACTTACGTGAAAGTATCGAACAATGTTGTGGTGCTCACAGCTGGCTAGAGTCCGAGCCTCACGCAGAACTCGCTGCCGCGATGACTCCTTATTGGGCAACGTTATACGTTTAATCGCATAATGGTTCTCATCCAACTTGTTTTTTGCTTCAAAAACGACACCAAAGCCCCCTCGGCCAAGACATTGCATTAGATCGAAGTCAGTTTGAAAGCGGGAGGTAAAATGTTCACCGGAATTCGTCGTTGACTCCGAAATTGAGCGCTGCGTACGACTGACGCCACCCGTAAAGCTGATGCGATTACCACGCTGTTGGTGGTGTGTTCCCGTCAAAGGCATTACTGGCCCTAAGAGCGCTTGTGTAGATGCTTCCGTTGCCTCAATAGCCGTTTGAACTGGCACATGGCGCTCAATGACGAGGTACTCACGTTCCACACGCTGATTGCGATGGCCCATAAACATGTTGAGCAGCACTGCTGAGGTAAACGCAATTACCACTATCTCCTTCCACCAGAACCACAGTGAGAGTATGATTACTTTAACGGGTGCATCAATATCATCCAAACTGAAGCCTAGATCATCATTGATGCTATGATTTCCACCACCCGCTTTCGAGTTACTAGCCGTCTCGTTACTGGCAGGCGGCGTTTCTATGGCGGGAAATCCGCTAGGCGTATCATTAGTGCCGCACTCCAGCGCACTACTTTCCTTACTCAGTTGTGTGTCAGCAAAAAAGTAGAAGCCATTACCATTGACAAACTCCGAGGCATTTAGCACTGACTGCGCTGCAACTGCTATGTTTTGCTCGTCATATGGAATCAATTCGTTTTTTCCATAACCGTCTTCAATAACCACTTGATCGTGTTCGTTCCGGAATAGCACAAGTGAGTTGCTGCTGG